TAATATTAAGCTCGATATTATTTAAGTTACGTAAAAATTTTGACGTAAACAATGGAATATTTAAAATTCGCTCAAAGGTCAATAGAACTTTTAAAAAGCATTGTTATTTCCTACTATTTATTCAAAGAAATATTCAATGCAATCACTGTTAAGGAAAAACCGCGAGTGCGCTATAGCTGCGGTTGTATAGCAATGTTGTATCATAGCAATCTTCATCATCAACAACAGTTCAATCCGAAAATTTTGAACACGCAAAGTTTTATGCATTATACAAACTCAAAAAATTGTAATTAAAAGGTTTAAGCTTGGCGCATAAGCGCATATCTGTCAAATCTATCGATGATGTCGTACAGATCAAGATTATCAATATACTAGTTTCGCATAATGGCCGGCGTTCTCTCCAATACCCGCATTCAATTCTTACTTGCTATATTCTCATCGGTCAATGCTAGGCATTATAAACATACTAAATGTATCCATTTAAAAAAAAAGAATATACGTATTTTGGACTCACGTAAAATGTTCAGATAAAGCAACTACATATGTATATCTGTTATTGAGACACGTAGGACCATAAAATTTGAAAAAGAAAATTGAAATTGAACTTACTTTTATAAATATTCGCCCAAAATAGTAAAAAAAAAAACACGGCAAGAATGTTATAGTCGGCAACTTCGTTTTGGTAATGTGCCAAAAATTATATCATTATTTTCGGGAGGATTTCCGAAATGTCACGTGGTGAGATCCAAATTTGGAAAATTTAGTTTGCTTCCCAAAAATTTTATAATTTATCAGTTTCCGTCACAAAAAACTAGAATTTTCTCTCCAAATAAAGATTTGCGTTTCGTGATAATCTCTTTATAAACTGCCGTCTAAAAAATAGACGTATTTAATCCGAATTGCTTACTGTTCATTTAATAATGTATAAATAACATTAAAAACTAAACTTTTTTCTCAAGAGCTTACTACTCATGAGAATTCTTATATGGGGTGGCGACTAGGCTATAGACCCATGTGTTACAAACTTGGTCACATAATTGTTATGGCAAATTGACAAGAATAAATTTATATCATAAAACATTAAGAATTAGTTCTTTTTGTCATATGAGGGTTCGCAGTTTCCGAGAATTCTCACATGCGGAATATCTAAAAAATAGATCTAGATGGTCCAAATTCGGTGAGGTTGCTTTCACTGTCAATTTACTATTATGAACTACTACTATGTAAATTAGGCCTTACCATATAAAGATTCAGCTTTTGTAGGAACGGTTATATGAGACGTGGTTCAAAAAGTTGCTCCAACCCATCCAAAGTTTTCACATCAATTTAAAATGTTAAAATAATATTACACAGCAAGGTTTGCCGAGAAATGGAAAATTTGAAAATTGCAATTTTTTTTTCTGGAGAGTGAAAATATCTTAAAAATTGCGACGTTTAGGTTGAACAAAATGTTACGTGGATAGACATTACATGGACATATCGACACACAAACTATGATCGATTTAAAATCATTTCCGGTACAATAAAAGGTGGACATTAAGCCTCTGCAGGTGTTACATATGTCCGTACAAATTTAATATACCCTATGCACAAGCATTGTAATACATAAATACAGATATTGATTCAAAAGCTTAAAACAAAAACGATCGTGAACGGTCAACTGACATATATTCGCAATTAAAAAAGATTTACGCAAATTTCTACACAATAAGTGATGGCATAACTTAGGTTTAATAAGAACTGCTCTAGGAAAGAGTCGAAATTACTTCTTATCTGTTTTTACATCAAGTAGGAGTGAAGATTTACTGCTGAGTTTTCGTAAACAATTTTATTTCACTTTTACAAACATCTAAAAATATCTAAGCAAATTTAAGTTTACATTAATCAAGTCGAATTGTCAAACATATGAAAATGACTAATACATTTTAAAAAAACGAGAGAAAAGAAAAGAAAGGAAGACGAGTAACAAGTATTTATTATTATTTTCAAATTACTAACTTTTCTCATTTCCTTCATTATACAGGCATGCTTCTTATTTATTTTATAAGTAAATTATTATCAGCTAAATATTTTTAAAATTATTTTACATAGCTTCTAAAAATTTCAACTTGTGATGTGAAATTTAGAGTTAACATAAACTATAATTAGAAAACAAAATAAAAAGGAAAAATAAAAAAACGTAAAAAGGAAAAAATAAAAGAAATGATTTCCAGTTCAATGGATTCAATAAAATTAATTGATACAAAAACACTGCATTATAATATATAAAAAATAAATTCAGTCTTATTAACAAATGAGAAACAAAAACAACAACAAAAATTATATACAATGAAATATATACATATATAAAAAGAAATATCACACGCAACGCAAAAAAAAAAAAATTAATGAGAAGTAATTAAAGAAGAATAAACACAGCAACAACAAGAACAACAACAAAAGTTATTAATACCCACAAATGAATATATACGATAATAATGAAGTATTTATAATTAATATTTATGTGTGTACGTAGCAGCTATTTTTTCATAGTGTATGTATATGTGTACATTAAATAAACTCTTAAGAATTAATAACAAAAGTAAAATATAAAAAGTAAAAAAATGTCTACAAACAATAACAAACAAAACATCAACTTTATAAAGTAAGTGTGTGTTATAAACAGCGAATCATTAAGTAATTGCATATAATTCAATGTTAAAAAACAAAAGAAAAAAAAATTCTCCTAAAATGCGTTATAAGCATTTCTCAATATAAAACTAAAATTTAAAAAATAAGTGTACAACAACATAATAATAAGGATAGAAAAAAGCAAAAAACTTTCCTATAGACATAGAAAAAATGCAAACAATATTTACTTGCATACTCATCAAAAAAAAAGAAAATAATAAAAGCATACTATATATATTTAAAATACCCACCACAAGTCATATATTAAGCCCGCCAATCCTTACTAATGCAAAGAAACAAACATTAGATCCCATTAACTGTATAGGTTCAACTATTATTAAAAATGTGGCATTCCGCATCAATTTTCCGTGTTTTTAATTCGACCATTTCATAGTTTAATGAAAAAAAAATGCTTAAGTACTTTTCGTATTTGATGGCTGCATAGCTGAGTCGGTCGTGAAGAGCAGATACAATCCATTCGCCGTATTGGTATAAACGGGTAAATTGAATTATATGAAATTTGAACGGGTCGTAACGGGTCGGCAAGTCTCCATGATGGTAATTTTTACGATACTTAAATGAAATATGTTACATCGACATGTTTTGGCCTAAAGACGAGCGCCACGCGTTCGTTATATAAATAAATGTCTTACTTGACCCACTATCATGTTTTTACTTGTCTTTAAATGTAGTTGGTTCAAGATCGCGCTCTATAATGTTGGGTTAATGAGTAGGCGAAAATCTCTTCGCTTCGTTATTGCAATGATTAGGTTCAACTATTTAATTTCAATTAAATTGGTTACAAAAAACGGGAAATATTCTACAAACAGAACTTATGTTATATAATTAAAAGTAATCAGTTTGAAATCATCTATAATCAGCAAGAAAATAGGTTTAATCACGTTTGCGTGTAACCGAAGAGACAACTTTGCAGACAATCATCTTAAATTCTTACGAATAAACCGAAAACAACAGAAAAAAATAAGTCTTGATTGAAACTTAATCGTTACTTATATTAACGTTCGCATACAACACATACACACACACACAGAGACACTGTACGCCATAGAACATAACTAACCATGTAATACCAAACGGCTCAGAAATATCCCACTGAATAATTGTATAAAATATTGATTCTTATACAAGTATTAATTAATAATAATAAAGTATATTCAATGTTTACAATAAATGACATCGTGTGATGATGACCTAAACTCTACGATCATTCTTACTAGAGAAAAAAAAAAAAAAAATTAAAACCAAACTATTAAAAAAATATTTGAAAAGGCATGTGTTTTAGAAAACAGAAAGCCAGTTAAACATACTAGGACCGCGTATTCACTTGTTTTTTTTTTTGCCTATTACAAAAAAAAATAAATAAATAAATAAAATTAAAATAAAATAAAAAAATAGATAAATAACTTTATTTGCTAATATTCACTAAAAATAAAATGAAGCTAAATAAGTTTTAATAGAGTTTCATTTGTTATTTTTATCAAGCAAAATAATTAAATAAAATGAATAAGAATTCATTAAAATTTGGTAAATAATACGATGAATATAAAGCATATATCTTGTGCTATATCACAGGTGTTACTGCTTTTTTCACACTTAACCTTAAAGATAAACACTCATGTTCCATCACGTCGGAAACTATATGAAATTATACAGTTGCAAGAATTTGAATGCATTTCGTAGAAATGAACGCACTTAATATCAAATTTCTCCTCTGTGCGTTCCTCATTCCCATAAGTTCTAAAGTTAGGTTTTTTATAAATAAAATTATAACTCTTCAACGGTCTGAAAAGGCGAATGAACAATGATCCATCAACTGGCGACCATATATATATAATAATAATAAAACAGTTCGAATTTCCTAAGAATTAAAATGAACCAATATTTGTCTTAAAGGAAACACTACTTTCTTTACGTACATATTCAATCCCAAAGTATATTTATTAAAAAAACAACAAACACAAATAAGGAGCAGGCGTTGGTAGCATTAACCCCTCAAGTGGAGTACATTATTTCCAAATTAGAAGTTATTTTCTTTCATTTATTAGATTTTATAAAAATTTATTACTTTTTGTAAACAATGTATACTTATCAGAAAATGATTGAAAATTATCATATCAAGGTAAAAGTTGAAATTTTTTTCTATTTACCAATTCATATATTTCAGTTTATAGCATTAAATGAAAGAATCGTGTGTGTGTGCTTTAAGATTTCTTTAGTTTTATTTCTCCACTATATATATTGATTCTGTTTTTAAATATTTTTGTTAAAACAAATTTTTTTTAATATTTGAGTTTCTTCTTCTTAAAAAATATTTGATTTTAAAAAACTGTTCTTCCAAAGTTATTTTTTTCGGTAATTTTTAAATTACATTAAAATTAATCAATACTTAATCCTTTTAATGACTTCTTACATCTTTAAGATAAAACGATTGGAAATCACTTTTTACTTAAAGTTTAAAAACTTTCCAAAGCAGTTCAAAGGTATTTAAGCTTATTTTATTATTATAGCTTATTTTATATATATAAATAATATATTTAATTTGATATATTATTATACTTCTTGTACGTGATCACTATTTTGATAGTAACGTTTTTCGAAGGGGTTATTAAGAAAAGCTTTCATTTAACTGAGACTATATATATTAGTATGTATCTGTTTATAGATGTATGCTTGAGTTTATGCATTTTTCTTCTTAGTACATTTAATTTTAATTTTTAAATATATCCTCTGGCAATGACGCAATTCCAAAATTATTAGTGAAAATCGAATTTTCTATAGCGCTAGTGCCAAAAGAAGCATTTGCTGCTGTCATGTGATGGCTAAGATTAGTTGTAGAGTTAGTATGTATTTTAGCATTTTTTATATCCAAATTTGCTTCATTGCAATCATCCTCGTTTTTATTATCCCTTTCATGGGCTGGCTCAACCGTTGCATTAAGAGCTTGACATCATTTATCCCATAAGCCGAGCTCGCGCATCTTAGTCTGAAAGTAACGTTCCAAATTGTTAGCGCAACGATAATATTCAGTTTCAGGCGAATTATAAAAGCGGCAATTTGAAAAAATATGCGCCATGTCGGCCATGAAGAGACGACGCGTTACGTAATAGCCTCTCTTAAGGCGGTCCGCCATAGTCTTCAAATCCATTGGATATTTAATATGATCATAGTAGTCGGGTACTTCAGCTGCAGTGACCGGTTTTAAAAATGGCCACGCAGATGCGTGATGGCGCACCGCTTGCAACACGGCAGCAAATGATGCTGCCAGTTTTTCAGGGTCCGTTGACTCTTCTAACGGCCTCGAAGTTCTTGGTGCTCTTGTTTGCGGTTTCCAACCAATATCACGCAAACCGGGTATAGATTCTACAGGAATAGATGGAAGACCTTCTTTAAAACAAGTCAAACCAGGTCGTACCTTTTGCACCTCATTATGACGCTCAGCTATAAGTTCTTTAAGAATTTCACTTTGACGTCGTATAACTGAAAATGAAGGAAAAAGCTTCAAGCGTTGAATTAAAAAATGAATGAAATTTTTTATCTACCTGATATAAATTGTGTATTTACAATGCTAGGATGCAGTTCGCAGTGCATTAAAGTTGCTCCATCGTACTCTTTAATAAAGCCGGCATACACAGGACGAGCTAATTTGATGTCTTTCGAAAATCCTTGCTTTTTAAAATATCCTATTGCGTCACAGTCAGCGTAAGTCAAAAGATGTAATACGCCCTTTTGTATGCTATAATCTTTAAGGTGATTCATCAGATGGGTTCCGTAACCTTTTACTTGTTCGGACATTGTGACCGCGCAAAATACAATTTCTGTAAATCCTTGACTAGGAAATGGTCTAAAGCATATACCTCCTATTGGCATATTCTCCTTGATCAGTGCTAATGTCTTATGCTTCGTATCGAATACTAGCTGACTAATATATTCACGCGGCATTTCGGGTAATTGATGAGCGAAAACACTTTGCAGACCCAATAGCCATAGAATAGTTTCCTTGTCAACTGGCTTTGTCAACGAATTGCCTACTACATGAAATTCAATAGCACGTTGTTGCTCTTCCGCCTTAACATTTTCATCTCTGGAAACATTGACTGGAAAAAGTATTTCCGTTTTATTAATGGCTTTCGATTCGGAGACGGCTTTCATTGCACGAATAACTGTTTCATCAGGAAGATCTTCGTAATTAGAATCACTGCAAAAAATTGTGAGACGACCAAATTTATTATTTCACAATAAATTCAATATATGCAAATTCAAAATGATTCAGCTTTTTTGTAAGTAAAACGCATGCCTAAAAGTACGTTGCAAACTGCATTAAAACCTCGTTGAACTGATCACATTCGATGATTCAATTACAAATGATGAAATGTAATTTTTCAGTACACGTCGTGATTATTATTTTCATATTTATTTACAGACATGGTATTTATTTTTACAATTTTCTATTGTGAATTTTTAATTAACTAAACTTACCCGCTGTTTCGATCAACATCTTTTTTGGGCCTCTTATGTATCGGTTCGCCAATGTTTGCACGTTTGCCGTTAGCGTTATTTACTGTCCCCGAAACATTAGTTGCTGTATCCTGCTGACGTTTGCGTTGTTGCATTAGGAAAGCGCTGGGAGGCCGATAGGTTTGGTCCCAAATAGGCGACTCGTCTTTAAGTAATTCCCCTTTAAGAGCTTCTAAAAATTTAGGCATTTGGGTAATTATTGACCTCTTATCGGCAGGAAATCGATCTCGTTCTGATATACATTTTTTCTTTAGTTGTTGAGCCATATATTGGAAGACGGTGCGTAGTAGAGTCCGACCAAAAACCAAAGAAGTCTCAAAGTGCCTCAAGGAATTGCAAAAGGCGGGCACATGACAAAATACTAACCAGCGCGTATAATTGATCTTGTAGGTAGACGCATCCTCATTCTTGAGATCGGCTTTTCTTAAAGATGGTGGTTCAAAATTGTAGTGATTCAAGAAGTTTAAGAATGTTTTAGCAACTTCGGTCATGGTTTGCAATTCATTGGGGCTTAAATGATGGTATTTATAGAAAACAAATGAATACACAGCTTTAGCAATGCAGGGAGATTCGAATGGTGGATCTCCTAAGGGGCCACGTATGACAGCTTGTTGCCTGGTTATCACGCACTGACGCAGTAATCGGAATAGATACAGATAAACTTTCTTTGTATCCTCATCATCCACGCGTTGCATTGACATAAACAAGTTCTCCATGTCGATAATAGCTCCCAGCAGATTATTCATTTCCACACCGGAAATACCGTCCAAATGAGCTATGTGACTTTGTAACGTATGACGGCAATTGGTGTTACGGCATTCCTCATTGAATTCAGGACAATAGGAAGATTCAACATCTCGGTGTCGATTTTCTTGCGGTGTTTTCCAACCCGTGCAACGGCATCCCTCGGCTTGACAAGCTGAATACATTGACAATTTAGCCAATTTTTGGGATATTGGCAAATTGAAAACCTTTTGTTTACGTTGCTGTATACGTTGCAAGCTATTTTGACGCGTTCCTTCAGCAGGAGCTGAAGAGGCCGATCCAGAGCTTGGTCCATTTTGTTGTGGTTGTTGTTGCTGCTGCTGGTGCGTTTGCTGATTTACATTACCATTAGATCCAGCATTCCCATCTATAGCGTCTTCTTTTAAAGCAATTAATGAACCACCGGACATATTCTTCTTATTCGAGCTGCAATTTTATAATAAGTATGAAGATGCAATCAAAATGGAAACTAATGCAATTTCACAATTTTGCTTACAACTAGATGTAAACAAAAGATAACGAACGCGATGCCAGATTTCTTTGTGGGAGAAAGTTTCTAAGAGATAAATTAGTTAACTTGTCTGCACTTTATAAATCTAAATTTTGTTAAATAACTTCGTTCGATATTTTATATTTCAATTCAGAACCTTCTATAAACTCTACCGCTTATGGATATAAACTTGGTATTAATTTGATTTTTGCCTGTCTCCAAATGTATAGTATTCGTCCACCGCCTTTCCCTTATTTGGCTTCTCCTATTATTATTTTCTGCGCATCAAGAGACATAATGATCTATAAAATGAAATAAAAAAAAATCTCAATTTAATATTATTTAGCCAACTAGGTACAGGTTCGTATCGTGTTAAAGTCATCAAAAGTTCTTGTGATACTTTATCCCGTAAACACATTTACATTTCTAGCAACTTAACAACTACTGCACTCTAAACAGTTTAAAAATGATTTGTAAATGCAATGTTCCTAAAATCTTGCATAGCAGAAAAATTTTGTACATTTGTATTTATTTTATACGAATTACGATAAAAACTTTATATATCATCAGTAGCTAATTAATGTTGTGTATTTTTTTCCCCTAGGCAAGAATGGAAAAATCAAAATTCAAAAGTGACTTTGTTTTCGAACACGATAACAGATGATATACTATAATACGGTTTAAATACCGTATTGTAGAATCTGGGCGGTTAACTTGTGAAATCTGGGTGTTTTATATAAACTAATGCGAACCCTGCCAAGAGATTAATTTCTGCTTTGGGTTGTATTAAATGCATTTTTAAAAATATCCGTCCTACATCACTGGTTCCACAGTACTATAAAAAACAAACCAATCTTAATTGCATAGGCTTTCAAAACAAATGAACTTTTTTAACGTACTTGGCGTAGGTCATTAAACCCACGTTGTTTTCAGGATTAGAACGTACTTTTCTTAGACACACCAAATTTATATTATATAATATTTTCTTCCACATCGCCGGAAGTAAAAAACGAAGAAAGACAATGTAACACGAGAATGCACACTTTTGACTAACTATGTTGCAGAAACACGTGTATCGGTGTGTCTTTATTTTTCTATAGTAAGAAAAATACCGGATCACAATTAAATCAACCAATGGAATTAATTTTTGTTTTTTCTTTGGCTCCGTTGTATGAAAAGATGTATTTACAATTTGTCGAATTTAAAAGCTTTTTAAATAAATCTTAAATAAAGTGAAGCATTATTCGTTATGCAGCCGGGACTACGAGATTGCCCATCATACGGTACAGTTTGACAATTATTTTCGGTTTTAATTTGCCAAAGCAGTTCAATATTTTAAGCCTTTCCTTCATATCAGCAAATACAACAGTATATGTAAAGAAATTTTGTTACATTCGATTAACGCACTTCTTAAAAGATTATGTAAGACATAAATCAAATGCCCCTTGAAACTCACGCCATTTGCAAACTTTAAATTCCGCAATTTGCGTATATGTATATTAATGCATACATTTTAAATGTATATATATACAAATGTCACTTTTAATTCTCGACTGGTCACATTTCAACTGAACTAATTGATGACCGGGAAATTGAAGTGTGTTTGTTGATTACTAAAAACACCAATGCATATGTATAAATAAAGGCATCAAATATTAAATTTTTTATTTATTCATTCAGTAGAGTAATACAAAGCCATCGAGGCATATTAATCCTGAGGCCTTAAATCTAATTAGTACATATATATACAAATAATATATATTTGAAAAACTAAAAGGTAATTATCTCTCCAGCCAAAATATGTATAAAATAAATAAAATATGTAGCAAATTAACAAACGGGTCGTTCCAATTAATAGTAGCAGTTCTAACACACATATTCGTAAAGAAATCACATGAAATTAGTAAAATAAAATCAAACAAAGTTAGTAAAACAAATAAATAACATAAAATATGATATATTTTAATATAATAAAGATATGAATTAAACATTTAAGCTTAAAGATTTTATAGTACAATTACCTAAATACATTTCCTATGGATTTCGAAGATTTATTAGACTTTTTTTTCGTACGCAAACAGTTTAAGGATGATTCAGGTATGTGTACATCTAAAAATAATACATGCCAAGTGGGACAGGTTCTTCAGTACATTCCGCTAATGTTAAAAGAAATTCAAAACGTGAACTATAACTCTTTGGAAAGGAATCCCAGCATTATAATAGACTTAAAAAGTAGAATACGTTTTCAGTATTGTTTGGTGTATGGACGCGTAATTGCTAAAGGTAAAAGTACCAAAAACGTCTGCAAATACATACTGGATGATGGCACAACTGCTCTACAAATAAATATATATCGCAGAGAATGTGAATTGCACAATTTATGGAAATTAGAAGTTGAACTTTACTCTCTCGAAGAACATACAAGTTTCGAAAATAAGACAGATGTTCTCGCAAGTTTAAAGAATCTCTTAATGAAATCAAGGGAACAGTTGTCTAATTTTGAACTTTCACTGGGGTGTAAAGTACTTGTATATGGTAAACCCTCTATTAATAGAAATTATGTATCGATAGATGTTAACAGTCTTATCCAGGACTCTAGTTGCATTTATGAAATAATGTTTAAGGATAAATTAATTGATTGGTATAACAAAAATTTATTGGTCTAATCTATGATTTCATAAATTTTTATTTTCATTGTAATAAAATACGCCCAGATTTATTGCGGTTTTGAAATCGAATTACTTGTTCTAATTAATATCGTAGTAAATTGTACAAAATAATTGCAGAAGTTTGAAGAAAAAAACAAATATTAATTAAAAATCATAAGATTTATGTGGTTTTAGCCCTAATAGCAGCGCGCTTGCCGGTAACAGCTTGGAAACCCGATTTAATACTGGCCACTGAACAACGCGAGCCGCAAGATTCACATTGGAGAAAGAAGAGACGGGTGTCTTTTTGCAGTATAGTTTCAGGTGAACGACATGTATGGCAGGTTACATATTCTTTAATGTAACGCCGTAATACGTTTTCAATTTGTTTGGGCTGAAAACGTCCTTTAATGATTAACTGTTGATTGCCATCCATCGATCCACTAGTACCTAATTCGGCTAGTAAAAAATCCAATAAATGTTTGGGCAAGCGATGCAAAGTTCTAGCAATGTCCATGAAATTTGCGAAAGATGTCTTCTTAGTGCCCACACGTAATACCTGTGGAGGCCTCATTACAAATTTCGGTTTACGACCGCCAGCCATTTCGGGGTTTTTATCCAATATAATTTCAAACACCCTTTTAAGCAACTCATCATAGGTGTAGTCACGGTCAGATCCGGCCCACGTGGAGCTATTGTCGTCAACTGTTTTGATAAAGAAATATGTAAATCAAAAGCTGCATGTCGTTCTAATTTCTTTGATTATCATACCATTTTCTTTATCTTCAAATTTATCTTCTTCCTCCTTTTTGTCGGCAATAAGTTCATCAATCTCTTTCTTCCTAATTTTCTTTTTCTTTTTTGCCATCGAAAAATCCATATCTAAGTTAATGTCATCGTCCTCAGGTTCTGCAGCTGGTTCACTAACGCGTTCAATGTTTTCTTTGGGTAAAGCATTATCTATTTCTTCTAGATTAAAAGGCTTCTTCTTTTTCTTCTTCTTTTTACCAAAATTTTCCAAATCTAGATTGTCGTCAAAATCATTGGCAACTGCTTCACCGGATGGCTCTTCTATATTTTCTTCTTTCTTGGAGTCATCTAAATCAAATGCTAAGACGGCATCCAAATCAAACGTCTTCTTCTTTTTTTTCTTCCTCAATAATATAGGATCAAAACCCTAAAAAAAAAAAGAATAAATAGAATCAATCCAAAAACACAGCATAATCTCAGTAAGATCATAACACAAAGTCACTATGTATTTGCTTTCTTCGCCTTTTAAATACTTACATCATCACCTTCCATATTAATTAAATTATTTTAACTAAAAATATTTGCAAATGGCAAAATGTTTTTATGAACAAGCTCGTTAAAAACGTCTATTAATTACATCAGAAAATTTCTGAAAGAAAAATCGTGGCAAATCGTCGATAGAGTTGCCAAATTTTATCATTTCTGCTGTTTCGAGTACATAAGTTTTTAAGTAGAAATGGCTAGTGCTTACATTAGTATTAAAGAGGTAATGGTAATTTATCGTTATTACTTGAAAAATATCTTACCTCTTTGTGGTACTTATAATTAATTATAGTAGTGACGTTCCGAACATAGTTGAGGGTAAGTTGATCTTTGTCTTCTACCATATATATTCACACATAGTTCTTGCGCGCCTTGTCAAGCTGAGGGTGCTACTTAGATTGAAAGTAGAAATTTTTCTTAGAATCACTTAATGTCTGTATTAAACAAGCAAACATGATCTGACTTAACCATCTCTTATTATTGTGCGCTTTGTCTATTTAGGATTTATGTGAGGCAATCTTTGCGACCGGAACTTCTCTTTTCCAAAGTATATCAATTCTATTAAAAATTACGGTACTATGAACGTTAAGATGAAAGTAACACAGTTCTGAAACAGCTGCCGTACTCATATATATTTCCTAATTGAATTTAGCGATAAATCTGGTCGCCTTTTTCAATGGGAAAAGATGCAAAAAAAAAAATAAAAGGAATCGAAATTATTTTTTGATCAACATTTAGTGATGTCGTAAAATTAAACCTACCAGTCTCCTCAATTCTTTAAGAATTTCATTGTCAATTTTTAATTATACCTTTATCGATTTTCGTCGATTGGGCTTCCGTGCTATTGCTTTTGAATAAAAATTTGCACTATAAAAACGAATTCTTAAATTACAATTACTTTCAATTAAAGGAATTTATACTAGGGATGTTATTTTTTAATTATTTATGGGCAATCATCTTTCATAGGCTTAATAATGTTAGCATTGCCAAAGTTCCGCAGCTTTATAGCAATCTGTCGGAAGAAATGCCCAGAAATTTTTTTTTGATGTACTACTATTCGCTTCCGAATTTTCCTTATTAAAAGATTTGTTTTATTAATTTATTTACCAAAGAACTCAGCCAGTAAGCCAAAGTGTGGTCCATATAAAGTATTTACATTCCTGATTTTGATCGGCGAAACACATGTGCATTGGAGTTATCGATTAAAGATTTCGAAAAAGTATTGATCGAATGCAGGAATTTTCTATCATAACCATCCCGACATGCGTGCAATGAACGAATTTATTGATGATATTATTTGTTTACATCGACTTATGTTTGTGTATACTATGTCATTATACTTTTTAAATATATTTTTACAAAAAAGTGGCAGTCAAATGTTTCACATCAAATAAACATGCAGTGAGTCTCATTAATGTGTGGTATATATATATATGTAAAAAAATTTATATATATGTACATATCTATATGTAAAGGTTCTTTCGCAATCAGCTCAGCGGTTTGCACTTGTTTGTGTTGCTTGTTGCTTTCAATTGATCAAATGTTGACAGGCTTTTATAAAATCCTGACAGAAATCAGTCTTCTGAAACTCGCAAAGTGAATTGAAAATAGGGGGAGCGTGCACTTGCACGTTTGCGCACATTAAAGCTCCGAAGATTTGTAAATTAATGAAGAACGAAAGTCATTTAAACGCTTTGACAATTTTCTATAATTTTTCTTGTACGGGAAACAGGGATCTTACTCCATTCCCCCTATAGTCTATCTTTCAGATCTTAGACGGAAGAAACTGGGCGTTTTTTGATGGAGCTAATGTCTAGTAATTGTGGAAGAGAATGAAACACTTTGGGACAATTATATATGAGGCATGTGATGAGAAATTTTTATTGGGAAATGTTTTGTGTTTTTAATTACAAAATGAAACATTTTTTTTTAAACAATTTTGCAGAAATTTTTTGTGTGAACTTATAAGCCATCTTTATTGGCATAGGTCAGTTAATCTCAACAAAAAAATGCTGTTGAACCGTTAAGGCTTAAAATTTGTTCAAATTATAATATTTTTGCGCACAGTATTCCTCCATAAATAGATCAAATGCTAAATACCGCATACAAACGAATATGTGCCATTTTTATGAAATTTAAAAATGCGCTTGGAAACTTTTATTAGGATGCACCAAATTTGGTTCAATACCACCGGCCATTTTCTGCACTAGAATACCGATATCATTGGCAAGACATTCAGCTTCCTGCAAAAATAGGTTACAATTAATTGCAGTTTTTCTAATGTACATTAATAAATGAAAACATTAATTACCTCTTGCGTTGCGGCTTCTGCATACACGCGCACTACGTCTTCAGTGCCAGAAGGTCTCACGAATGATCGTGCTCTATTATAGTTTAATACAATATTGTTAATTTGTTCTTGTAAACCAACTGGTGTGAGACAAACACGCTCAGCGTCTGCTGTGGTAATGACATTGCGGTCTTGGACTTTAATTTTCAATTGCAAATTAGGCAGATCGTCATAACAAGCCAACCATTCGTTAACATCCCATCCTTTATAATGTAAAATAGTTTCTACTAACAATATATCCGAAATTGCATCTCCAACGGTTTCATTGATTAAATCAATAACCAATAAAAACGTCTGTGCTTTCTCATCACCCAGATCAGCAGCCTTAGTTATAGATTGCTTAGCTTTGGTACTAAATATTATAGTTCCATGACCATTAGCTTCGAAATATATACCAATATCGAATTCCAAAGCTTTATGATGTAAATGTTTAACACCAGTAGAAACACAACTTACTGGCACTTTAAGTTTATTGACAATATAATCTGTGGAAGCACCATTAGCGTATGCAGTTTGAACTAAGCCCATACTTAGCTCAAGCTCACAACTTTTTACCAAATCTATTAAATAATCAGCTACCAAGGTAGCTATACGATCGCCATCTAATAAATGAAAAATGCCATCATTATCTGTGAAGAAATAGACGACGCGGTCTGCATCGCCATCCACACTGACACAACGAACATTGGAATCTGTTACAGGCATATTTACAGGACAACGTTGTTGGACCTTTACATAATCAGCTCCACATTCGTGGTTTATCTTGCCATCGCCTTTATTAAAAACCTCCACGTTTAGAGACTTGTGCATACGTTTAATAAAATGTAACATTTTTCGAGCACCTACACCATTAGCGCCGTCGAATAACAAGTAATTTCGGTATTTATCATTTTCCAATTTATTGCCACGTATCTTTTCAAAGGCTGTTATTAATTTGTTATAGTATCCCTCCTCTGTGGCTTGACCGTAAACACCTTTCGAATTAGTGGCTACCACAAAGTAATGCATCATCGGTGTTGTTACAATACCATATTCTTTGACATTACCTTTCAATGCAATCACGCCATCTGACACAGCTTTGAGCAAACGTGGACTATGATAACGATTATCCATACCAACATATACATTTGATTGAGAACTGACATCAATTTTATTTTCTTTGATTATTTTGGCTACTTGCTCTTCAAGCTCTTGATCGGAAACGTTTACAAGTTCCGTAGCAATATCTTCCCAATTCGGGTCTAACATTTCACCTTTGGGATCAATGAGTTTTACACCATTATCTGGTTCTGGATTATGGGAGGCGGTAATCATAACACCAACAACAGAGCCACCTAAGACACGTGATCTTAAGGTAGCTAATACGCCCATACGAAACATAGCACTATCTAAGAAATCTGCACTAAAAGTGTGCAATAATATAATTAAACCATTTATTTTCATATTAATTGAGAGTAAGCATAATTTAATTTTATGTTTAAATTTAGAGTTACAAAAATTTTTCCCAGATATATTGTGATATTAAAATATCAAACGGCTTCTATAAACGGCTTCGAAACGAGGCTGTCATGAACTGAATATCGTCACATACGAGAGAGTTAGCTTGGAGCTCTATAAGTAGTACTATGCACATAATCTAGTCGTTTCTAAACTCTTACACGTACGCATATCTAATTCTGCATTTAATTGAAACATCTGGCCAAAGTAATTTTGCTATTTTGTTTCTATTACTGCTGGGTTTAGAGAAACAGAGTATATACATTTAAAATTAAATTGAAATTATCTTTGTCCATATAAATGCTTATAAATGCTATCGAATCTACGCAAAAAAAATCTTTAAATAGAAAGCCGAAACTCCTTGAGTCATTTCTATTAATTAACTTTGAAACATGGCGTAATCTGCTCGCACAATCACTACAGTGGTGAAACAACTTGGAAAACAATGGCGAAATTTCAACGCATTTGCATTAATAAACCATCACCACATATAAAACATTTACATATACTTCATCTTACTTTCCACGAAATCCAGCTGTTCCGTATTGGAACCGTTCAATAGATTTTTTGGGATACATTTCCCTAGCAAAAGCATAAATTGTTTTTAAATTAATCGACATCTTTTAATCGTATATTCTCTCAAGAAATGACTTATCTATTTGAATAATAGTCTGCGTTCACAAAAGAAAATGACCAAATCTCGATTAAGACTAAATTTTTTTATCTTATACGTTAAGCGTTACACATCACTTTTTTCAAATGAACAGTAAACAAAGCTCAGCTGATTTTGACATTCAAGTTATTTCGCTTAATTGCAACCACATAGGAACAGGGCGAATCGGATGGAAACGACCTGACAGTTGTATATAAGTTTTCGCTTGGTAAACATGCTGTCTCGATCTCCTTTAGATCTTGAAAGTTGCTGGAGTTATTACATCCTCTTATGATTACTTCCCATTGATGATCATGATGACAACATCCACTGCTCAGATATAAACTTTGTACCTATCAATATATCAAAGAATCGTCGTTCTTTGAGTAACTTACAAAGCATTATGTATAAATTTTTTTTTATTTTTTTTTCTTTAGTCCACAAAATATTTTTTCAAGCTATACATATTTTAAACAAAAAGTTGTATCATTTTAATAAATGTTTCTCTTTTTCTATATAAATTTATGGACGGAATATATATTGCACATACGTACAATATTCAGAGGCTCTTTTTACAATCGTCATTTTTTATGCGCTTGCTTATATTACTTAAATACGAAGTTTTGTGCTTAATTATTATGAATTTTGTACCTTAAATATTTAAATTACTTACGTTAAGACAAAAAATTTGAAATATGAAATCTTATTTGGTAATGCAATACACAAATTGTAATATTTAGTCATGTACTTTTCATTAGAAATAAACTCTCAATGCAATTAGAGAGAATGTGAATAATAAAGTAATCGATTTTCTTTCCAATTTTCTGCTACCAGCATAACAATCGGTTATGCGTCGTGCTCGCATATAATTGCTGCCCAAATATACGTCGTAACGACGTTTATTGGGCGCTATTATTTGCAACTGTCTCGTGGCATCTTGGAAAATTAAGTCATAATGTCCAAAAGGTGAAGAAAACATGCTAAAACTAAAAGCGTCAACATCCTTACGACCATATAACTGCTGGGCATAGGTAAGCAAATTAATGTAGGCATTAATTTCTGTTTCGTTGTAATTCCTGCCGCCGCGTGTCACAATTGCATTTGCTTTTACTTTGCCCAGATTACATCGCTTATAATCGTATAACTCAGCGCGTGTACCTGTAATAATTTTTTTGAAAATGTTGCAAAATATTAATCAAAACCAATCCTATTTACCATCCGTGCATAATAATTCAAAATCATCGTTAAGGGTATTTCGCGCCCACCATTCTTTGCGCTTGCCGCTAGTATTTTCCATTACAGTGGTGTGTTTGACGAAAGCGACGTGACCGCCACCTTCCACTAAACAGCGAAAAGCTCCAGTGTAACCAAAATAATCCTCAGAAGCATCGCGACGGCAATAACGATAGCTACTGCCATGACATAGATCACACATGCTGTCGTAAGGCACGCCAGTATTGTATTCGTTGCTTGTCGCTCCTGGGACGCACGATTTCGTAAAATATTCAGCTGCAGCACGCACAGAATCGCATCCGTAAGGCCTTATCCAACCGTTGGATATCAAGAGAGCCATAGGATAAGTCCAACCAGCAGCCATGTTAATGCCTGTATGGCAAGTGTATCTGCCCTTGAGATAAGTGAGCTCAGTATCAGGATCTTCTTCTTTGGCTACTGCTACAACATAATACTCCGGTTCGCCCAAATTGTAAACTTCCGACATAAATGGTATTAGATCATAATTTAGTCCGGCTGTATAAACATCTCCAGCATCGAATACAGCAATATCAGCCTTGCCTGCCTGGATCCATCGCATGCAATTAATATGCGAATGCATTTTCTTGCAAATTAATTCCGGTTTAAGTATTTGGGCCTTTAATGCTATCTGTAATAACCACATTTTGATAAATCGACATTATAAGCAAAAAGAAACTAACTTACCCTCATTTTAACGCATTTGTCAAATTCAGCATCAGAAGTAACGCACAAAGTCATACTTGGGATAGGACATTCTCTTAGTCCATAAATATACTCCATGGAGTTATGTAGGTAACTACTGAATGATTGGTCGTCCTCATGGATAGTAGCTAAAGATTTTGCAGCATCCTATTTTAAATTGTATAGATGTCATGAAAGAAAAACTTAGAAATTCCTACATCGTGAATGAATACCTGAAAGAGCAAATTACTTTTTCCATAACGTTTCGACTCGAATATATGAAATTTTTCATAAAGCACTGACTGATTGTCATTCCTAGCAGTAGTAAAACTACCATCTAAACGTTCACCACGATACCCAGACGATGGAACAAAACGATCATAAGCATCATTGTGATTGTAGTACTTATTGTCCTGATTACTTTGTCTACTAGTAAACGAAATTTGCAGTGCATCCTCACGCAAGCTATCCGAATACATTTCAATAATTTTTTTTAAGAACTTTTGATACTTTTTACGTTCCAAAGAGTTACGTGCTGAAGACGTTACCACAGCGTCAGAAGGTACTAAAGCCCAACTGCATTGACGGTATTCGGAAACTGGTACACGACGTCCATCACGGCACAGCAATTCAAAGCTTTCCGGAGACATGGAATCTTTTGCGAATTTTATAAAATAAGTACATTCATTACTGAATATTTGGTAGCAACTCACTGAATTCCGCAGTAGCCAACATCTCAAATACAGTGGAGTGGCGTAAGAATGCCACATCGCCAGCCTCTAATAAACAGCGAAATGCACCATCGTAACCAAAGTATGAATCTGCCACAGAGCAGCGACCACCCTGTATTTTACCCTTACATAGCGTGCATAACCTGCGTGTTAAGAATGTTTAATTAGTAGTGAAAATTTCAATTGTTACTATTTTTGGCGTGAAGAATTCTACATTTGATTAAACTACTCAGCACCATCATTGAGAAAACGTTAGAAAGTAATTTCATGCATTAGAAGGTCTTTTCGAATTCCTTATCATATTTGAAATAAACTATTAGTGCATTCGTTATTATTAATATTATTTGTATAAAAATTCGATCGTGAAACGGAACTTACTTATCTGAGTTATCGCCAATAGGATTATATTTGTCGATCAAAGAATATACGGCACATGAATTATTGAAATAGTTGGCCGCAGTTTTAACCTGATTATTGCAATCAACTACTTCCATCCCACCCTCCCGTTGAAGCTAAAAGCGGTAAAAAAATGAAAAAATATGAGTGATTCAAATGGCGTATTGCTGTTTATACCCACTACATATATAGGCACAATCCAACCAGCTAAACTGCCCACCCAAGGAAAACAGGCTTTCTTCTGTCGCAAATGTTTTATACTTGTAACATCTAGTACAGTTCCCGACTTAATAACGGCTACAGAGTGATAATTAGTAAAACCACCCTCAAACTTCTCTTCCATGATCGGAATGAGGGAATTATAACGTCCTGCAGTAAAAACGTCACCGGCATCCAAAGTCGTTATATGAGCTTTTTCGCGATCTATGTGATGTATGCACTCATCCGCACTAAATGCCATTAGGCAGGTGAGATTGAGTAAAGCATCGTCAAACAGTGCACGATCGCGTTCGATCGCTACGGTCAAATTTTGACATTTATACTGTTCTTCGTGATTTTTAGTACACCATACCATGTGGTGAACTTTCTGTTCACTGAAATCGTATTGGCCTAAAAAGATTCGTAATAATTAGTAACGTAAACACAAGTGCACTTGACCCATTTAATAATCGGTGCACAAACAAACCATCTGTTACATGGATATTTAAATGTGTAACAATATGAGAATGTTTTCGCGTTCAACATTCGAAACAACACGATATATTTAAGCAAACGGCGGCTGAAAATGTTTCTAACATGTTTTTTCTGTGCTAGTGAAAAAAAAAAAGTAGGAAAGTTAAATTCAGTCGGGACCGAATCTTTTTTCCGACCACCGTTATCCTAAAGAAGACAAAAGAAATAAAAGAACAACATTTTCATGCTGTATGACTTAGAGTAGGTACAGTTGATTTCTTCTATTTTGTCGTTGTAGGCGTTGTAAGCATGTCCGCTGAAAAGTTTAAGTCAATCACATTCTTTTACAAATATGTAGGCGATATCTTCATCTTCGCTAGTGCTAGAATATTTACCACAAATGCTGCAAAGTTGCGCTAACAGACAGATGGACAAACGAACAGGCGGACGTGCTTAGATGCACTCAGGATTTAAAACAGTCAAGAATTTGTATACTTTATTGAGATTTTGAAGATTGTTTGTTTGAAGATTCTTATAAAGATATTGAAAAAATAATTAAATTTTGATACACTATAATATTGAGAAGGTGTGGCCAATTTTGCCATTTTTGTGCTACCGCATTGGCCAAAGAATATGCCTTCAAATTTTTGTACAAAAATTTGCCAAATTTTCGGGGTAATGAGCAAAAACCAATTTTTTTATTCCCTTTGAAAAACAGAGGTGTACTCAGTTTATGTGGTGCTGTGGGCGTGTCCTTCGACCGAATTGAATCATTTTTAATACCAACCTGCGTGCAAGAACTTCCAGCGTTTCTGACAAATTTGAAGTCGATAGCTTTATTTTTGCAGCCTGGAGAATGTTTACAACAGAAGTTGCACAGACGGACAGACAGACATGATTAAATCGATCTAGAGTTTGTTGCTGATTAAGAACACTTTGTGGGGCCCCTGATGCTTCCGGGCGCTGCAAACGCTTTGACAAAATGAATATACCCCTCAGCTTTCGGTGATGAATATAAAAATATATACTAGTTTTTTTTTTTCTTTTATTTCTGGATTTTTGATAAATGTTCCCCGATTTAGCATCCATAATAGTCAAAAAAAATATCAGCCTATGTCCCTATGAACAGGGTCTGATCAGATTATTGTAGATAAAAATTAGAATTATTATTTGAACATTACTGATAACAATAAGAGGCCTAGTTATCTGCTGATCCAACTGTGCCAATAACGCGTTTGTTGTTAAGGCTTCTTATTTGGATGCGAAAGTTATTCCAAATTCTGAAATCAATGTATAAGACTTTAGGTAATTTCTTTCTATTTGTTGAAACCTGTGAAAATGCTGAGGGTAAACGTATCAATATCTCCTCCGATCTTTTCTGTTATAAATACCTTAAAAATTTTGAGATAGTCGGCTTAAAAGAACTCAAAAGGGTCAGGAAGGTGGATTACCTCTCAACTCAGCTCTCCATGCTAACTATATCATCAAAAATAATGGTTTTAAAAGAGAGAGCCTGAAAGGTTACATTCCCAGATTTTGTACGGAAAGATTTAGTATTATCCGAAATATCTCTATAAATTATGACGTAAACGAAATTATTAAAAATGCGTTGTCTGATGTTCCGATTAACTCTGCCATTAGCTTTGAGAGGAGAAACCCAGTCGACAAGAATGAATTTGTTCGGACGGCGAGCGTAAAAATTGGCTTCGAGGGAAAATTCTTCTCTGTTAAGTTAAATTTTTCTATTCTTCCGGTCGACCATTTCATTTCCGCCTTAAAACAATGTTTTAAGTGGATTTAGCCCTATTTCAAAGTTTTGCAAGTCTAAGGAGACCGGCTGCCGCAAAGATCTACGCCGTCAATGCCAGTTTTTAAGTTTTAAATAATCGTAATCATACCTTTCGCTGTAATCGAAGTGGTCGCAAGGCGATTCAACAATCTCCTATTTTATTTCAAAGTTGCAGCAATTCCGTACAAAAAATATTATTATTATTATTAGAAATTTAGCCAGAGAATAAATTCTAAGACTAAAGTCTTAAAGCACCAGCATCTAAGGCTTTCGGCTTTTATTAAAAACTCTACCGCACTTGAGATTCGAACCCACGACCATTGAGTTGCTAGTCGAGACTCTTGCCTACTCGGCCACTCAGGCGGATCGTACAAAAAATAAAAAAATTTCATTTCAAGCAAATTTTTAATGGACTGTCTTAAGTTGACCTTCCATTCGATTTATCAGCAGTTCAAGGTACTTTTCAATCTGAAATCATGTCTGCTAGAATCAACTTTTTTGATATTGAGTCTTGCCGACCTAAGAAAGATTGTGGAGGGTGGAAGTCTTCCGTGTCAGCACTCCTTCGTAAATATCAAGCTGCAAGAAAAAAAACTACTAAATACGGCAATCTAGTCAACTTCATCGAACTGAAGGAATGGAGGTCCGCAGTTAAAAACGCGAAAAGCACATATAAAGCTGTCGTGATTAAAGTATTGAGTGGCCCAGGGAACTTGATTTTTTTCTGTAATTATATCAACGGCCATCGACAAGTTACTCGACAATTAAATTAAATAAATTTTTGAGCTATATTAAATGAGATGATATGCTCAAGAGTCAATCAGATTACAATACAATTCCAATTTCTTTCACAATAATACTTTCGTCTTCTTATGCGAATTAATGTGTGTTTTACTATCCAGAAAGAAAGCTACCGCTGAGAGTTGTAATGGAGTTAAGTATGATATGGTTTGGTTACTGTCTGGGAGGAGCTTCACTGTCTTGTTGCATGCAATTAATAACTATTGGTCTATTAAGCTTATAAACTTGGATATGCGATGTATCAAAATTGTTCCCAAAAAAAAAGAAGCTGGTAAAATGATTCTTATGCTTTCCCTGGATATCAGCAAAGCCTATGATTGCGTAACTTGATGAAACTTGGTAGAATTCTTTTAAACTTTTCAATCCCTCCTTAAAGATGTCTGTGGATACTAAACTTTTTATCCAAACATATTTGGTAATGGGTACGAACAGAGTTGAAGTATTCCATAAGGCAGTTGTTTGAGCCCCATACTTTTTAATTTATATATAGCTAATTTGCATGACTTTCAAAGCGACAAAACTCATATTTTTGACTATGCCGATGATTTCTTATGTCTGCTAGTTAACCTTCTCAGTGGATAAAAGATAATCTTTTCTTCGATATATGTGCCAATCTTAATTTATCTTTTAATCCTAGCACAATAAATACATTTTATTTTACCGAAGCGTCTAAACGCGTAATTAGGCTCCTTATCAAACGAACTAAAATTAATAAGATAAAATCTCCTCAATTTTTCTGGTAATATTTTAAAGCCTAGCTCTTTGTGGACATTTTCAAAGACTATCAATCTGAATGTAATATTATCGAACTCATGGGTAATAATCAGTGAGGTTTGTCTCCTCCTGACTCTGACCGTGTACGAAGCATCGCATCGAATCTAAGATAGAATTTGCATACACTACATCTTGTATTTTTTTAAAATATATTGAGAAATGTATATAAACATTCGAAAATTGAATGTTAAAACCTTGTACTGGACTGGCGTCCTCAACTCCTCAACATATTATTGGTGAATGGCCAGTTCCCAAAAGAGCTCTTTTTTATACTGCTAAGGAGTTAGTTAAGGTCAAGATAATGAATCCTGTCCTTTTCCAGAAAGTTATACCTTTCAGTGAGAGTGTCTCTTGCAGCTACACATTTTGTTATCGAAGGCCCGCTCATATTTTTGACAAGATAAATTCAATCCCTCCCTTGAAGTTTATTACCAATAAATGTGGGGTTTTCCTGAACATCGTTGAAACGATCTCTACTATGAAATTTCTACTATGATATGAAATATGAATCTTGTGAAGATCTTATATCAAGAAGAACTTTACTACAACGACAATGATATATATGCCAGTGACGGTTCTCTTGGACAACGTATATAGATCCTCGATAACCAAGAATCTATCTAAAACAACGCATCAAATCAGAGTAATGGAGGAAGTTTGCAACACTACTCTTATATTATCATGAGCAAATCAACAATCTACAATTACATATAACATATTGGTCTCAGTACATCATGTCCATAGTCTTTTTATTATTGATAACTATTTGTTGAAAATAATTATTCCTTTTTTTCCTGGACATAGATATTATTGGTTTTCCACTTTAGCTCAGCATCCATAAAAAATATGAGAATGGATTTTTAATCTTAACTTTTCCTGTTGAGATATTTCCGCGAGTTAATGGCTTTCTAACATTTAACCAACAAGCCACTTTTTAAACGGTACATCAAATTCAATTAAACAATTTTACATTTCGTATGTAAGTGATAAGAAATGGTTTGTAGAGTTATCCTTACCTTCTACTATAAATGATAGCAACGCAAAGCTGATAACTAATATAATTTTACACATTTTTTTTAAAGAGTTATTAGGCTAGTTACAAGTATTCAAAATAAAACAAAAAAAAAAGAAAAGAAAACAAAGTTTATTAAAAAAACTATAGTTTATGTCACGCCCAAACTGATGAATAAAATGACGAACATAACATTAAAAATAACGCTAATGTGTTGCCAACTGGTCGTTTCTTTAATTCAGATGAAATAAATATCATGCATTTACTCTAATCTGTAAGACAAATGCTTGTAAAAAAATTGTACTATTTGTTTTTAAACTACAATTTCTTCATTAATTTTAAATATTCCGGAGTTTGTTAGTTACCTGATGCTTAATGTTATAATATAATAAAAAAAAATCTATTATTGCAAATGATTTCTTGATGAAGCAAACTATAGAGTTCATTTCAATAAAGGCGAAGATGGTAAGCCTAGTCCGATTTATAAATATTTGTTTTATTATGACTAAAAAAAAACAGAGTTGTATCGTAAAAACAAAAAAATTTTGTTTTGGACGAATCATGAGCGCCTATATCACATCTATTGCAACAGTAAGAAGACTTATGTTATTCGAAGATTTGTGTACATATAAAATAACTAATAACGTCATAAATATTAAAATTTTTTCGTGGTAAGATCAGTATTTCATTAAGTATATGTATATCTGTCACCATTTTTCAGTAGCAACAGTCAGTAATACCTTGATATTAATCATGTTTCGTTATTTAGTAGACGAAAGAAATAAGCGTGACAAAATTTTGAAAGTGCATCTTTACAAGCCACATACGGAATGTAAAACATAACATACTCTGCGATGATTGCTATAAATTTGTCACATTTTTAAATCGTTTCTTAAGATTGGAAATCACCATCATCAATAAAAAAGGAAACATTCTTTTGGCAGAGGTTTTCCAGGAGCTCTAAGATGGTAAATTTGGCGCGTGAAGAGATTCTCCTATTATTTGATGTTGATGGCACTTTAACTGAACCACGAAGTATAGTAGAATCAGAATTTGAGGAATTTCTCTACGGACACGTAAAACCACGAGTCACCATAGGTATAGTAGGTGGATCAGATTTGGAAAAAATGTTCGAACAATTAAATGGTCGAAAAATTTTGAGAGAATTTGATTTAATATTTCCCGAAAACGGACTGGTACAAATTGATAAAGGGCGAGAAGTGGGAAAACAGAATATCGTCAATCATTTGGGCGATGTCGTATTGCAAAAGTTTATCAATTTTGTCTTGCGTTATTTATCAGAGTTGGAATTGCCATTCAAGAGGGGTACGTTTGTGGAATTTCGTAATGGCATGATGAATATATGTCCTATAGGAAGACAATGTTCTCGTGAAGAACGGAACTTATTTGCCGTATTTGATAAAGAGCACCAAGTGCGAAGTAAAATGATTCAAGTGTTGCAAAGAGAATTTGCTGACATAGATTTAACTTATACCATAGGTGGCCAAATAAGTTTTGATGTCTTTCCTAAAGGTTGGGATAAAACCTATTCTTTGCGTTATATAGAGGCAAATTACAAATTCAAAGAAATACATTTCTTTGGTGATAAAACTGAACCCGGTGGCAACGACTATGAAATATATACGGATTCGCGTACTATATCGCATAAAGTTGGGAGTCCTTCAGATACCAAAAAAATTGTTACAGACTTATTGCAATTGACTTAGGTCAAGTTTTCATATAGTAACATTTATCTATTGCTAAGAATAAAGATGTTTAAAAATAAAGTGCGAGCTTCTAAATATTTGCATTTCCTGGTTTTTTATTCTGTCTCCATTTCAGATTCACTTTTTGTTTCTTCCCCACTGTCCTCGCCATCATCTTCGCCATCTGAATCACTACTTTCACTATCGACCCAGTCGTGGACATTCATATTATTCGGTATTATTGCCTTCCATTCTATGGGTTTATGCAAATTTAGAGCATATAAGTCGTTGAAAGTATATTGTTTACTGTCTTCCTCAAACAAACCGCCATATACATACAGTACGCCTTTACATACACATAAACCGGCATTCATGCGGGGTGAAGGTAGTGAGTCTGACTTGTAGTTTGGGAAGAAACTAGGCATTTCGAGTGAAGTAGAAGCGGAAACGCCGGGGCCAGCTACTCTTACTGTAAAAGTACCGTCGGTTGTCGTGGCAGAAGTTGCGTTTACAGCCTTGGGTAGCGTTTCGTGTAAACACATATTTGGGTGTTTGCTTGGAATTTTTTTTTTCTTAAAGATGTCTATTAAATGACAGGTTAAAGAGTTTAAGTCTAGGCCCAACAAATCGTCCCCGAACTGGCCATGCAAATCCTCCTCATTCTCATCCACGTCCATAACACCACCAAAACTATACACCATAGCATTTGGGGCTGAAGTGCACGATACGCCACTTAGGGGAAGAGGTTTATATCCATTAGATTTCGCGGCAATCCACTTGTATTTAGTAGAATCTTGTTCGCTCTCTAAAAAAAAAAAAAATGTTATTTTAAAGGCGTATTATGGAAACGCGGCTCTTACTATTAGGTATTAAGAAATACATATCGGTATGTGTAATGCCACGGTCGACATCTTTTTTTATTTTTGCTTTTGAATAACCACCCCAAACGAGTATGTTGCCGTCAGGAGTAGAAGCCATACAACATCCAGAACGTGGGGACGGTATTACAGGTCCTTCAATATGTATTTGTAACCAGGTATACGATTCCAAAGAAAATATGTGGACGTCATTAAAGTAATTGTAAGACTGATTGTTGTCATAAAAACCACCAAATACAAATAACTTCTTTTTAAAAACAATCATGCGATGACCGCTGCGGGCACTTGGTCCATTGGAGGTAGTTATTTTTTCCCACTTACGCGTTTTTAAACTCATCATCCATAAGTCTTTATAATGATAGAATTGTAACTGAGAGGGGCTTGCGTATTCGCCACCAAACAACTAAAATAAAACCAAAGATAATTAAATCGTATATCTCGTGTAACTTTAATATGCAGTTAAACATACCCACAATTGGCCACAGTTAGTGGCCACAGCGACCATCTGATGGCCACTACGCGGCGCTGGTCCGGGAGGAGAACGTATTTGCTTCCATTCATTTTTATTGATATTATAAAAAAACAAATCATTATAGACGCAGACACGCTGGCCATTGTAAAATTCGCCGCCAAATAGTATGAGTTCTTCTTTTTCTGGATGTGCTACCAAAGTGAAATTGCTGCGTGGTGTAGGCGGGGTGGCACAAATTTCTTCCGAAAGTATTTTAATGCGAGCTTCTTCTTCTTCTAATCTACCAATTACCTCAACTATATCAGTCTATCCAAAAAGTTCAAGTCAAGTTTTCAGTTATTTCAGAAAGCTCGGACGATAAAATAAAAGTTCTTTACCTCTTCTAACTTCTTCAACATTTTTTTTTGCTTAGCAGCTAATTTCTTATCCGTTTTCATGGCAGTTTTTTCGGCTCCTTTGCCTTTTTTCTTATTCTTATTTTTTTTCCCCATTTTATAAAAAGGAACTGGCCGTACGAATTTGTTTGAAAGGTCAAAATTAATTAAATTAAAGTGCTATCACAGGCTACACGTGTAATTAATTCTCCTCTTCTTCTTCTGTTAATCAGCAAATTAACAACCGAAAATTCGCTGGGATGTGTATAAAAAAGTTCAATGTGAACACAGCGTTCGTTGTTTGAGTCTTAGTAAAGTTTTGATTAGATGGGGATAGGGATGGGGGTATATGGTGTTATTATTTATATATTTTAGTGATCATTTGTTTTTTTTTTTTTTTGTTGGATATGGATTAGGCCTGTATGATTCAGTTTAGACCCATAATCCAGTAACGCAAAAAGATAATCATTGATGATATTTTTATATGTTTTCGAAACCTAAAATGAGCGCTCTATTTTTTTTTTTCAAGTCATACTTATGCTTGTTAAACATGTGAAGTTCTGCTCCGCAGTTGTTTCCATAAGCCTCCGCAATGCACTGTACAATCGAAATTCCGGCTAAAAATGCCGGAAAAGAAAAAAGTATAGCCGATCTGTTTTTATGAGCAAAATTATGATTATAGAAGATTAGAAAGAGAAATCAGGTGATTTGATAAAGGCAGTCAGCTGCGTAAGATGCGTAGAGTTTCTAGCACCAAAAACTTCAAATAAATTGTTGTATAGGCTAAATATACTGAAAGATTGTCTAAGGATGTCAAACCTCCTGCACTCAAAAATTAGATGTTCGGCAGACTCAGTAATGTTACATTCTTCACAATTGTCAGTGGAAGAGACTTTAAACATTTTGAAGTATATCTTGTCATAAGAGTGATTACTCATAAGTCTGTGAAGTATTGTAAATTCCCATGTTGTAAATTTTCCTTTAGATAAAAGTTTGGTTGTCAAAGAAGGGTAAATTGTGTAAAGAAGCCGGTTACTTTTTTTTCTATCTAAAACATGATACTCATCTTTCAATTCTTCTACAATAACTTTTTGGATAAGCAGGAGAGCCTCGGTGGTAGGATAGTTAATGGACAAAACCGTGCCATCAAACTGTGCTTCACGTGCAAAGAAATCTGCTCTTTCATTGATACCAAAACCCCTGGTCCAGATTAGGTGGCATTCTTCGATGCTTGGGTCCTTTAAAAGGTTGTAAATTTCAAAAACGTACATGTTGTAAGGATCCTTATTCCTGATTAGCATCAGAGCAGATTTGCTGTCAGAAAAACATGCAAATTGTCTACATTTGTTATCAATTGCAAAGAGGATTGTCTATCTGATGGCCAGAAGTTCAATGAAGGTGGATGATAACTCTTGCAGAACTTTGAATTTTCCTAAAAGTAAATTTTATACTCTATAACTGAGAAGCTGGAAATGTCCGGATTTATTGATGCATCCGTTGCGTATATTTTGAAATTATTTTTAATAAGGAATTGAGTTTTTTCCGACATACAGTCCGAAGATAAAAACTTGATCGATTTTTTATGATTTCGTGATCGAATCAAGTATGTTTAATTCCAAGACCCACTTTTTGTAAATAATACTATTCTAAGAGGGTATTGTGTTAACTTTATTGAAAATGTTGCTGAATTTTTTGTAACAGCTGATACTGAAGACATTATGTTTGGAGACGACTTTATCAAAAAAAGCAGATTTGAAAATTTTTACCTTGAGAAGTTCTTTTGCAGTTAAGAGGAATATTCTTTTTGCTACAGGATGTTCATACGAAATGGAACGTAAGATTGATATTGGTATGGAGGGGGACAGACCACTGCAGCCTGTGAGAATTGAATGTTGGAAGGTTTGTATTTTTTTAATTGTTTATGCAGAGGAATTGCACGATGTGGACTATGAATATTCAATTTTCGAACGGACAATAGATTTTTAGACATTTGAAGCTTTCTTTGGTGGGAGTTCATTTTATAAATTGGTTAAAAGTTGAGTTGATTATTCAACCTAGAAATTTGATGGAGGAAGATCGTTTGATTTTTGTGCCGTTAACTGTGATGTTGCAAATTTTTTTAGAGCCCCTAGCAAAACGAATGACTTTTGATTTTTCAGGATTGAAAAATAAATTTAAATCCGCGCAATCTTTGTAGAAACGATTGGATTTGATATTAAGATTATAAACTGCTTCTACTAACGATTTTCCAGCAGAAATAATTAAGAAATTATCAACATATTGAAATAAATGGCTTTTATTGTCCTGTAATCGATGTAAACACGCTGTGTATAGATTAAAAAGTAGTGGACTGAGACAGCTATTTTGAGGTAGACCTCCACAAACTTCAACTGAATTTGAGCCCATCACAAGAGAAGAAAGGACATTTAGAATCCACAGTCTACAGTGGGACGGTATTTTAAAATCAGTTAGAATTTGACCTAATTTCCCTAGATCAAGGCAGTCATACGCTTTATTGATGTCTACACTAAACTTAACTACCTGGTTACCATTCGCTTTCTCACTTGCTACGGTGGAAAGAACCTTATTAACGCAAAGACTGGTGGAAATGTGTTTCTGATAAGCATAGGACCTAGAGGGGAGCAGTTGTGAGTTGTGCAGAAATTTAGTGAGTCTTTCGTTGATCATTTGATTTGCAATTTCGAAAAGTACAGACAGGAGGGATATAGGTCTGAAATTTGTGTAGTTTTCAAGATCTTTTCCAGCTTTAGGAATGGGTACAATTATAATTGTACGCCAACCTGTAGGAAAAGAGTTAGTCATCCAGTCATCATTTATCGCAGATAGCAGAGCTAAGAGGCTTGAAGCGGAAATAATCTTTTCCATTTCGTATTTAGTGCCATCATGACACGCTGCTGTAGATTTCTTTTCTGATTTAAGTATATGTAAAAGTTCTTCCAATGAAAATGCAGAGATGTCTTTCACTTGCAAGTTAAGCGAAAGAATATTTAGAGCATTTGTTGTGGCAACCTGGGCTTTCAGCCATTCTAGGTAAAGTTTGTCATTTTCGTCATTCCAAATGGGGTGTTTATATTTCCTTTTTGTAATGCGATGTCCATTCAAAAATTTCCAAAAAGGTATTGTGTTGCCCTTTGTACAAAGCTCTTCGATCATTTGAGCACGGTGACTTCTCTTGGCTTTTTTAACCGTTTTTTTCCATTCTTTTGGGGATAGCTTAAATTCATCGAAATTAGATAAGTTGGGGTATTTAGCAAATTTTTGTTTTGCTGCTTATAATTTGCGAAGGCATATTGTGAGCAATCCATTCCACCAAGGTTCCGGTGAGTAAGAACCGCAGATTTGTGTATTAGATTTTACATTATTAATTTCATGCTGAAATGAATTCTGAATGGACTCAATGTGAGGCTCAAGATTTATATGCAAGATTATTTTAATTTTTTTTCTGCAAAATAAAATCAATTATCTTAAATGAAGATAAGAAATTTGCGCTAAAAAGTGGTAGGTTCATAAATTGCTTAGATGTCTTAATGAAATAATTTAAAAAAGAAAAGGTTGCGACGTAAGCTGCGTGAAAAAATTGGCGAGTAAACGAAATCTTGCTTCTAGAGGCATAACATTTGCCATCTGTTCCAACCTTACTGTATGTGTAGGAATCATGCTACTGAGAGCTAGAAGAAGTAATTTTCAATAGATTCTGCATAATTTCAGAAGGTCCTTCGTTGGGATATTCAATAAGAGTGAGCAAGCCTATCTTAATTTTGGTGTGATTAATCCAAAATAAAGTTTAATCATGCAAGAGAAGTCAGAGCCCCAAGAAATACCACAAATGGATTTAAATACATTAATGAGCTGAAAACATTGTTTGGCAGTTTTGTCAATGTGAGCTGCTGGGGAAAGTTTCGAGTGTAGGACAAAGCCTAAAAAGTCGTAAGTTTTAACAAACCGGATAGAAGAACCATAGATGAGCAGAGAAGTAACAAGAGGGTCTTTTCTTTTTTTGGAAAAGACCAATAAAGATGTTGTTTTGGGCAGATTTGTAACGTCTGAAACCAAATTGAAGATTGCTGAGGAAATGTTTGGACCCGAGATTCCATTTTAGATGTGAGTATAACACTTTCTCGAAAAATTTTCTAAAGGAGGAAAGTAGGGCAATATATCTGTATTAATTAAGATCATCTGGCGAGTCATTCTTTTTTCTAAAGTGAAGATTAGGAAGCTGTACCAGGAACAGGGTACATAGCCGGTAGTTAGAATATTATTAAATTTGTTTTCAATATTCAACATTTTGAGGTGATTGTTACGAATACCATCTAAGCCCGGAGCTGAATCTTTTGAGAGATTAATGACTTTATCGAGCTCAGAGAGACATATGCCGTTTAAGAAGAAATTTTCATGTTGTAAGGGAGGATACCTCTGAAAATTCTGACAGTGCGCCAAAGATCTGAGATCGATATCTCACTATTGACATTTTTACAAAATTGTTTCCAATCTTTATGTTTTTCCAGATTGAGAGTATAAGTATATTCTCTTCTAATATCGGAAAAAATTTTAAATTTACTCTAGAAGGAGATCTTTTGCATTTATTTATAGCGAGCCTAAGTTTAAGTCGATTACTTGCGGTATTTCACCAATTAATAGAAGGGTAGGCATTTTTAGAAGACATTCGGTTCAGAGCATCAGTGAAAGACCTTAAGAATCTATCAAAAAAACAACCTGAAGAGTCTCTGGTTTCGATGGTATTTGAAATGTTACGGATAGTATTGCTAAGTAAACAAGCTTTGATATACTTTAGAACATGGGTATGTGTGCGGCCGCGGGTAATAGGGTGCAAATGAAGATCAATTTCGATTAGATATTGAGAACTACCTAAGATGTCGTTAAAGAACGTTACTCAGAGAACTTGGTTTAGGTGTACAGATCCAAAGATCTATGCAAGAAGAGACGGAACCAAAATGAGTAGGATCACCATTATCTAGTAAGACTAGGTTGCTGCTTTCAAAAAAATCTTGAAATCGTGTCTTGAATTGGAGAAGCGACTACTCCCACAAACGTGAGCATTAAAAACGCCACACATTAATGCAGATATAACAAATCTGAATGAAAATAACCTGTTAATTTTAGAATCAGAACCATTACAATTAGGCGGAATATAACAACTAATGATCAGGAGTTCCCCAAAGGAAGTGTGAATGATGCAGCTGCACGCCTCGATAGGTACACAATTTGCAAAATTAGAAGTGTGAAAGAATAAAAGCTTATTCGATATAAGGATCGCCACACCACCACCATGAGAAGATTTGGATACGATGAAATCTAACTACGTTATAACTATTAATAGAAAAAGAATAGTGAGGTTTAAAAAAAGTTTCAGAAAGATAGGCCACGGAGATGTTCTTACAATGAATGTATTGTTTAAGCTGTTTTGATTTTTTGCGGATGCTAGTACAATTAAGTTGAGTTATTTTCATTATTGATTGAGAGGGAATGGGAGTACGAACCTGAAGGGGATCGTCGGCTTAGATTACTTATGTGAAGGTCGCGAGATAAGCGTGTGGTGGAGTTAATAGTAGAGAAATTGAAAAATTTGGATTATTTGGGTATGCGTAAGGATTCTGACAAAAAGAGTAGACTTGTGGTTTGAGACGTTCTGCTGCGTCTTTTTGCGATTTGGAAATTTTCTTATGTGTTGCACAAGTTTTGGAATTAGAAAGGTGATCATCCTTGCAATTAATGCATTTTTTAGAATTATGAGGGCAATTTGCGGAGCAATCATGGCTTGTGTTCTAAATAGGGCATAATGGCTTTTATCGTGAGCACACCTTATCAGTGTGCCTGAAACGTCAATATTTACGGCATTTTAATGTCGACTCAACATATGGTTTAACTAGGAAGTTAATGCCATTCAAACAGATGTGAGAAGGCAAACCTTCCCGGAAAAACTCAAACGGACTATGTCCAACGGCGCACGAAAGATAGAGGAATGTTCGCATTTATAGTATCGAATAACTTCTTTAACTTTGCAGAAGTGAGATAGTGGCAAGAATTTAAGCAGATTTTTGGGATATGCATTTGAGTGAAGTACAACTTCAGTAAAATCAAAGAAATCGGACATACACGTTATAGATGTTGTTAAGTGAAGTATTGGCGGCAATAGAATTTGCCGTAGCCGTATTGGAAGAGATCGATTTAATTTTTTTTTCTTGGTATAAGTTTCGACTAAGTTCCATTAGTGGCAAAACATTTTTTCTGGACTGGACAAATACACTATGCTTTTTTCTAGTGTTGGCATAAGATCTGGCCGTGGGGATTTTGATGCCCCCACTTTCGAGGGTGTTTCGCAGATTGGGCTTTGTAGAATTAGTTATGAAATGGAATGGATTCAGAGTGTGTAGTGATGGCTTTCGAGTGAGATGAATGCGATGTTTGCCTTTTTCGGGTGTTTCAATTGTCTTTTTTATTTGGATATAACGCACTTTTTGTATCAGCTACGTTACTTGTTTTGTTTTTGCTTTCCCTTTTGAAATGACTTCGTACTGAATTTTAAATTGCAATTATCGATGAGTTATTATTAAGATGTTACTTTTGCACATTTTCACAGGTTTTTTTTTTTATCACCGTTCAGCGTAATATTTATGACAACCGTCAATCATCAAATAAGGATTCTTCTTTCTGATCAGAGAAAAAACTAATTTAATAAAAATTTAATTTGTTTTAATTATTTATTTTTTTACAGAGAACAAATTCTATGACAAGGGTTCTAATAAAGGAAACGTCTGTTAGTAATATCATTGCAATGAAGCGTTGCAATTACAATTTTTGGATTTTTTATCGTTGCTACTTTGCTTTCCTTTTCATATCTGGATTTTATGGAATAAATATATCCATTATTTAATTAATTTTCTTTTTTTATATACAAGAATTATAAAACCATTAAACTCACCAAAGATAAGATTAGACATTGTCTTGCAATTTCGTTTGTAATAAGATCTCAAGTCAAGGCGACGATAGCAATGTGGACAAAATCTATGAGCTCCTTCTGTCATGCAACTTAACACCCTTCGGTCTCACAAGGGATTAACCTTTTGTACCATGACGGGTTAACCAGTGGAGATTATTGTGCTCACGTTAGCATTATTTCCTGACGTTTGTGTAGGCATATCTTACATAAACGCAATATAAGCATATTTTATGAATAAGCATATTTATCTAGAACTAAGTTTATATAAATGTTCAAATACCTAATTTCGGCAAATGCAGTTCCAATTTGTCGCACCGAAGAGCAGTTGTCATTCTTATCAATAGAAATGCTTCAATTAACTTACAACACCAAATAAATTTTTTTAGCACGAAGAAATTCGTTCGCTTAACTTGCATCGTACATCATGAAATCATATATATATTGAAATATGAGATGATTGTTGGTGTTTATCAACAGTTGAGTATATAATTGTATGTATCATTACAATCATTCGCGATGCAAACGTATGCAAATTATGTACGGAGGAATTTAACGATTTTTTCTCTTTCGAGACAAAAGTTTTCTTCATATCAAACGTATGAAATTGAGTAATTTCCTTTGATTTGTAACATAAAATTTCAAAAAGGAGGTTACAACTTTGCTCTAACAATTTTTATATCCTTCACCGAAGTATAAGAGCTACGTTAATTTTGTCAAAACTTGCAAAGTCCGGTAGGAAGCTTCAGAGACCTAACAGCATTCTCCTGTCCGCAAAAATGGAGCTAACGATTTCAAATTGGGCATTAGAAAGGGATGCACGTAGATTGGTATTTAAAAACGGCCAAATCAGTCGAAAACCCCCCCTATAGTAAATGAAGTGAGAACACCTCTGTTTTTCAAAAGCAATAAAAGATTCATAATTTAAAAAATCATAAACTATAGCAGATAAATATACAAACATTACAACGTACGTTCTGCGAGTGATGCTGTAGTACCTGGGGGAAAATGGAGAAATGTAATATCACCTGCTCAATATTATAGGTAATCAAGGTATAATTTTTTTGAATACCTTAGTAACGTCTGCTCAACTATGTAGCCTCTGAAACAAACATTATTCCGTTCGCAAAAATGAAGATACCGCCTACAAATTGCAAGAGCTTGAAAAAGGCCTAAAGAGGTCAAAGAACACGCATATAACGCCCACATGACTACACAGTTAAAACTGAGACATCTTTGCTTTCCGTGTCTCTTTTTCGTTGCTGTTAAACACAAAATTATTATACAAAAAAAGAAAATGCTCACTCAATATTATGGAGTACGCAAACTTATGTTTTTCCTTTTTTCAATCTTTCATAGGATAACCGCCGCAATCGAATACAATTTGCTTAGTTGTTTTCATTTAAACTTGGGCTATTTACGTGCCATTGGCTGTGTATAAGTACATGCGATGTACGACCGATATACTCAATGAATGGATATCTTCGCTTAATCTTGCAATATCAGCGTTGGACTAATTATACATAAATTTGGTAATTATGGATGAGGAGAAAGACCATTAGTAATTATGAAGGGATCTTTTGCTTTCCACGCAATTATTCCTTTTTGACTATGTAACTACGTTGTTTAAGAAGCTTTATAACTCATAATTTCTTTGTGCAATTTTCTGTGCTTTATAACACCTTTGAAGCAAATATAATTTTTGTAACATTCGGAATGTTACGATTCAAATACCGGGTTGTGGTTCATAACTAGAAAATTATATGTTTTCTCTTTGGTTCATACATACGGTTACACCATTGTTGAGTTTACATGACTGTTTACAATTTTTCAGAATGAAGAATAATTCGATGCAGAGTGTGTTGCAAGTTGGATTTGAGAATAACTGATCGTTCTTATTTAAAAAACTCACTTATTTCTTTTGATATTAACACCGATTAATTTTATTCTATATTATAATTTTTATTAAAAAAAAAAATTATCTTTTTTTTTAAGGTAGGGAAACGGTAAGACATCTTCCTATTTTGAATCTGATTTGATTATAATGTAACGTATTTAATATACTCAGTTAATTTTACCATAACTAATTATAGCAAGCATGTTTATTTTTACCTAATTTATATTACCAATAAACAGTTATGTTTTATTATTAACTTAATCACTTACATATTTTATTGTTAGCGTAAGCATTTATTTGTAATTGGCCTTAATTTTAATTATTAGTAACATAAGCATTATTTGCAATTACATTATGGTATATAAAATATATTGTAAAAATCAAAGATTATAATTAAAATAATTCAACGAATGAAAATACGTGCTACTAAAGTTGATTATAAAATATAGTGACAATCATCATCGTAGTTATGATAATTAACTACATTGATTCACTTTGGAATTTCTTTCTATCCCAAAATCAAGTAAATCGCGTATGTAGCGAAACCTATTTTAGGCGTAGCGGGAATGCCTGGATGTCAAACAATGTAATATATTTTTATCTATTGTTGGCATGAATTTACTCCCTTCTACTAAAACTTCATTTTTTTTTTCATAATATATCATATATTTTTTCAAATATTTTATTAATAGTAAATATAAATGCGCAAGCGTAGTGCAAAAAATGCATTTTAAGTAAAATAAAAAAAAAAAAAATTTTTGTTGATTTAATTTAAGAATTACTTGGGTCAAGTTTGAAAAAAGCATATATTTTAAAATATAAGAATGCGTTACTGACACAGATTTTGGAATTTAAACAGATTATTTTTCCTTTTTTTTTTTTAGAATATTGGGCATTATTTATGGGAACTTTGGGGATTTGAAATTACTGCTGCTGGAGGAATTTTGCCGTCCACCGATAGACCAATTCGAGTCAAAACCACAAGCGGAATCGGAGTCTGAATCTGGTAAACCACTCACTCCATCCAAACCTAAAGACGATCGTAATTGATTTGGGGTGGTGGGCATACTACTATAGCCTGAGTTTAGATTTGTGCTTGATGTAGATGATATTGAATCTCTTGGCGAGTTTGTGGTCGTTGAGGATGCTAATGATGAAAGTTTTGTGGTTTTTTGGCTTTTCTTAATGCCCTTAGGTGGTGGCATTAGATTCTCATCTTTATTATCAATATCATGTGTACTATTAGCTTGGGTAATATTATCAGCTGACCCCCAGGACTTATGTAACATATCATGTTTCGTGGAATTAATAGGAACACTGGCCCTCGAGCCTAGCTTATTGCTGAACGATAACGGTGTCTTCGTAGTCATCATCGTTGCCGATTTTTTCATGTTCGCTTTCATCATCGGATGCAAATGATGCGAATTGCGCATCGAACCAACGTGAAGATGATGAGTGTGGTGATGGTGACGCTGATGGCGTTGGGGAAGATGATTGGTTGTATGCAATATTGCATTGCCATTGCCCACACCCAAGAAGTTGCTGAACGCTTCGGTCGTCTTCTTCACTCGCACATTCAAAGAGCCAATTCGTAGAAATCCCAAATCTTTTTCGACTAGAGAAACAAACAAAAATTAATTAAAAAGAAAAAATACAATATCTTGAGGCAAACGCTATAACAGTACGATAGTCGCTCTTCTCTCTGTTACCATTCAATTTTTCAAAATATGTTATAATACCGTTTGGTAAAATACAGATCGGTACCTAGGACTAGTAATAATAGCATGAACGTACCTGTAGGTTTTCTCTTTGCCTTGATTTCTGTAAAAATGAAAATAATTAAGAAAGAATTAAAAGAATTTTCAAAAGAAAAAATTTTAAAAGCAACGCAGAATAATGTGTTCTAATTAGGTGAAGCGATTTTTCAAGACTACATTTTTTGAAAATGGTAACAACGCTTACCCCATTGTTGTAAAACGAAAAAATAAAAAAAGGAAACCCAACAACTAAGAAGAGGAGTAAAAAATGCAAAATATCTACAGATAACCTTGTGAAAAGCAAGTATAGTTTTTTTTTTGTAGTTGTAAACATCTTTAGAAATATATATATCATGCATAAGATCATATTTTCACTTTTTTAATATATTAAACAATAAGGGAATGTTTTTTTTTCGAACAACTTAAGAGTGAATTGAAATAATAATTAAATTATGTAATAAAGTTTAAGGTAAAAATCAACAGAAAGTATTTGCGTAAGCAAACAATTAACAGCAGAGTATTCGCTGTTGTTTCCAAAATTCACTTGCCTTCATGTCCTACATCCATTGTCGATTAATTATTGACGCAAAACATTAATTGAAGATTAAAGTTGAAAGACGAAAAAATTAAACGTAGGAGATAGAAAAGCGAACATGAAAGTCACATTTATTTATCAGAATATCGATTAATATTGATAACATTCATTAATATTATAGAAGCAAAAAAAAAAAAAAAAAAATACCACACCTGCCATTCGTTGAAGTTTTAATGTTTCCTTATGGCCGTTGGTTAAATGTTTTCAGCCGAGATGCAGAATGTCTTAGATTAACAAACAATCACATGAATTTAATTTTTAATAATGGGGTAGATGCCGAATAAATTTCACGATCGGAGGGTCGTGGTTAAAGAACGTGGATCATCCACTGAGCAATCCACTTGCAGAAATATCCAAATTCATGTACATTTTCTTTATTATATTAATAGAAAGTGTAGTCTTTTTATAAGCTAGCGCGCAATTTTTTAAATTTATATTGTTTATGTTTTGTGAAATTTGCTGTCAAAACTTATTTTTCTCGGGTGTATGTGTTAACAACACATTCATTCTCGTATACGTGTTATAAACGTTTACAAATTTTTAAACAAATTTTTTGCTTTGCTTATTTTTGTTTTCAATTGTCAGTTGTATGACGTAGGGTTTTGCGCCTTCTATGATCATTAGCAATCCGTTCTGATAAGCGAATCATTGAATTATCAAGTGGCGAGAAAAAGTTGTAAATGAATCCTGAGAAATGAAAGTTCATTTTAAAACTTGCATTAAGGCATTTTCTTTTCCCATTTACATTGATAGCCCAAATAAAAATGATAACAACATAGAGATATTAAGCGTGATTAAAAACAAACACGATTAGGACCACATTCCACGGTTTTTTAAAAATTTTGAGGGTTTTGAAAACTTAAACGTGAAATGCAGAAGTGCCGCTCTCATTGGAAAATATGCAAAAAGTTTAGCGATGGTGACTATATTCGTCATACCCAGAATATGTGTAATATCAAATTTTAGGCTCTAATGAAATATAACGTGCCGACATAATGACTTACACACATCCTAAAATTATAGCAAATTATTACAGCAAATTCACATTCAAATTTGACGGGGAAATCCGACAAGGACGGATGGACGGGTCAATATTATTATTCGTTATAATTTTGCACTTTTTGCCCTGACGTATATAATCCTCATCGACAATTAACTGATTAAGCACTGAGCAGTGAGTGGGCTTAACTAGTTTACCCAAGAAAAAAAAATACATGTAATTGCAAAAAACAGATAAGAAATTTGAAATATTAAATTTTATCAAGGTTATTCATATGTTAATTCATTATTTATTAAAGCAATTCTGCAGTAAATTTCGCTTAACTGCTAACAAATATTTTCAGTTTAGATGATGGTACTGCCCTGAAGTTATTCTTAAGTTTATTCACTGTTTTTCTTTTTTTTGTAAAGTAAAAAATTTTAACAGTGTTTTTAAAAATCTAACACCACGTAGAAATGAGTATATAAAAAAAAGGAAGAAAAAAAAAAAACAAAGGAAAATATAATAATAATAGTGATCGCTTGATAAGTAAATAATTTCAAGATATTTAGCTAATGGAATAACGAAAAAAAAATTTAAATTAAAAATGCTGTAAAATGTAAGTAAAATCATGCATAACTGATAAAATCAAAAAATAGATAAAAAGGCAAACAACTGAAAAATAATAATAATACAAATATTAATAAAAAAGTATATATTAATTATGTACAAAACTGGATGAAATATTTTCGAATATGCAAATATAGTACAATAATAATAATAAGGTATTGAACTTCTATAAATTGTGATATAAAAAATTTTTTAGCATAAAAATGAGCAGAAATTAATTAAATAAATTAATTATTCCGTCACTGGTTAATTAGTAACGTTAGGGCATTGATTACGATTGGAGGCGGTAGCAGCACGAATCGTTTTACGTAAAAAGCTCTCTTTACGACGTGACATACTTGTACCAGGAGTACCACCATTACGTGCATCTTTTGACGGTATATTACCGAGTTCCGGTGAACTATTGGGGGGTGAAATCTTATGTGGCAGTAAATCCTTTTCACTGCCAGCTAAATACGGCACTGATTTTTTGGGTGATTTTTTTACACGAAACATCGTTGTTGAGGTGGCCATAAGCGACTGTGTGCGTGTAAGAGAACTGTTTGTACTTAATTGGGAGCGTTTTCTATCGTGCGTTAAAGTGCTACCCACTGTACCGCCCCCAATATATCTACTATTATTGACTGACAGATTCCGCATATTAGGTGGTAATTCAAAGTGGTAGTTGTTGTTAAGGCTGTTGAGTAGAAATTTTGCACAATACTCACTGCTGTACGTCGAAGCAGAAACACTAGTTTGCTGTTTGCTGTAATCCAAAGCTTTATTACCGGCCCAATCTAAAAGATCACGGTTGGCTTCTGTAATATGTAAAAAAAAAAAGAGAATCAGATAACTTAGATCAGCAGACACAAGAAGTAGAGCTAAAGAAAAAAAAGAGAGGTAATGATGGGTTTTCCTTCCATATTTTGTTAACTTTGAGACGGATTGTTCTATATTAATTCCCTTGACAAGCCCGTGTTAAATAGCTACATAATGTAATAGGAGTATATAATATAAGCTAACAAAGAATGAATGAGAGATTTGCGTTTATAAAACAAGGCAAGCGTATGTGTTTAATTGATTTGAATGTAAGTAAAAGAAGCTAAGGGGTGAAGCGAGAAAACAAAAGAGATAGAGAAGGAAACAAAAACACATATTTTTAAGCTTCAAGTTTCCAAGATTTGTATCAAATAGTTGGGTTTGGGTGAGGTCTTTCAATCGTTTCATATTAAAGAAATATGCTACTGAACTTCTCTAAATTGCAGTTAAACCTTTTTGGATAGACTTAATAAAGCCAGCACAGCACAGTTTCATTTACTCTCTCTTTAAAATACCCTTATACCGCTATTGGTGTAAGGTATAAACGAAATTCTTTTTAAGAGTTTATCAGCAGGTTATCAAAATGATTATGAAAATATATTATTTCAGAAAATAGCAGCAGTTAATGATCGTAGTTGATTTGATAGTCCTCAAAAAGGTAATAACGCAGCAATGCCATGTTATTCATTGAAGTGTTGAAATTTTTTCGAATAATTTTGAATTCCTTCTTTGTGCCTTCTTTTTCAGACAACACTCTTTGATATTTGCATCGCTTTCGCTGATATTATTTTACTGAAAAGGGCGAAATCAGAATTCTTTTTGTATATTTTTATCTTTATTTTTAGCCTAAATTGAATTTGAAGAAATAAAAGATAAAAACAAAGTAAGAATGCAATATTTCGAGGGAAAAGCCGTTATAAATAATACAATCATAAAAAGTACAAATTTTTGACAATATATATGCAGGTCACGTTGGTTACTATTTTAATATTTCTCAAAAAGTTCTTGCATTTGTTTTGATTGCAAAATGCTATTTACTCTACATCGTACAACTACTGCATAGCATACGATCATATGTTCTACTTTCCAAAGAAATGAGTTACCCGTATCAAATAAATTATGTGCAAAGACTTGATTTTGCAATTAATTCTGCACCGATTACTGAAAAGTGAACCCTTATTCTTTTACAGGTTTCAGCAAAGCATAGTTTGCATAGTTGCATAGTTTTTAATATATATGTAAAGTTAACAACAAAGAGGATTTTCATTATTTGTGGAGATGTATTGATCACCAGCGAGTGTCAATATTGGCTGAGAATGTTTGCTGCTGATGATTATAATATTTTGCAGAGGCCTCGAAGAAGATTATCAGTTGGATTGGATAATGACATCCCAAAATCTCTCCTGGGGGCTGATCAAAAACTAAGAGAACAAGAATTACCAGGAAGCCTTCAGTCCACATAACCAACTATACAAACACACCTGCACGAAATTGGAAAGAGTATATATGCGTGGACACCGTATCAATTATATGAGACATGAACAAGAATATTCGCACTTAATTCCCATCTAGATTTCGTAGAGATACATTTCTTAGAAGACTCGTTGCTGAACATGATAAATGGATTTTTTATGAAAACATAAAGTGTTCCATGCAATGATTTTTTGCAAAATCAATTCCTAGCACTTTGAGTCAAATTTTGCTGCACACATCCTGTATTTACGTAATGGGGGATGTTGAAAATTTGCAGAAAAGATGCCCAATTATCCTTGATAATGATGAATAATAATATAACAGATTAAGAAATAAAAAACTTCCATCAAGGACAAGGTTTGTTGTACATTTCAAAATAATTGATTACTTATGAGCTGCAACTATTATTATAAACGAAGTAAAAATTGAGATTGGTAGTGTTATTGGATTATAATTATATAGTAAATGAAAGAATTACTTACTGTAAGTGTTACATAATAAAGCAAATATATTGGCTCGATCGAATTGCATAGCTATGTGCAGAGGTGTGTAGCCCTAAGTAAAATTTTGAAAAGAGAAATTAACAATAATATTAAAATATAAATGTGAAATTTCAAGTTAGCAATAAAAACAATAAGCATTTTATGACATATTTTAAAAACGTTTGAAAAGCGTAACCGGCTCAGGCCAAACAACTTAACTTTATATATAGTTCTTTTATATTTAAATATGTACACATTTAAAGGCAACTAGGAGAGCGAAAGAAAGTGTCAATCAACATTGTTTTCCTGAAAAGTCAATTGAATTGCGTGATGCTTTTCAAAAAATGTTTTATTTGTTACGACAAATGTGTTGCCAATTTCAATTTTGTGTATATATCATATAAATGCTTGTACCTGTATGTGTGTGCGAGTTTATATATGTGTTTAAATGTAGCTATGTGTAGGTATTTATTTAAATTTGATTTTAAAATTTCACATTTGACAGCGTAAAGTGAAATGTTGAACATGAATGAAATTGAATTTTGAATTGAAATCGTATTGAGATACATGTGCGTGCGTTCATGAACGCATATGAAGAAGGCCCAACCCTTTTGCGATTTGTTATGGTTTTATTCACAAACGTGAACGCTTCGCAAATAGAACGGTTTTAATATTTGAGACAACATTATTTAAAGTGGTTTGCATTTCGAGTCACCATATGTTGCTCAGCTAGCAAAATTGCTTTGACAGCAATTTAAACATACAAGATATTAAAACACTGACTAATTTTGCTTAAAATTAATAATAATTTACATAACGCGCGACATGTTAATAAAATTTTATATTCATCACTTACCCCGTTCTAATGTTGATTGTAATCAAGAATGGAAAGCAAGGCAAAAGCAAAAAAATAGTTTGTACAAAAAATATAAATCAAATCAATTTTGAAAGAATTTAAAAACGCATTTCAAAAAGAATACTTACAGTTCTACCATTAACATCCGCTTTGTGTGTACCCGCAATTAACTTAACCACATCCTCATTACCGTGTTTTGCGGCCCAATGTAAAGCAGACTAAAATATAAAATAAATTAAAAAAATTTAACTACATTTAGGTCAATATTTGTTTGTTGTTGGATGAGTTCCGTCTATATTGTCATGGTAATATAAGTTCTCACATACGTGCTCCACATTTCGTCAAATTCTAACATACTTAATTGCAAGGCATTTTGACATACTAAAGAAGTTGCCGTATAAACCTACTCAATAGATATCAAAACTTGTTGATACATGTAATTACATACAATGATCAGTCCCTGGAATTATTGACCGATGTGTTTTCGAGACGATCAAAAAAAGTATATGATACCTACTATTCAGTTTAAGGTAATTTGGAAAATATTGATATTAGTATTGATATTGTATGTTCTTCATTTATTCAACTCATACTCATATACACCGACTATCAACATTTTCTTCTTGTTCTTCTGTACGATCAATATTTACGAAACTATTATTAAAGATACAAATTAAAAATTCTTTATTAAAGAAACAAACAGAAATATTCAAGTGTGATCTTAACAGCGTTCGTAAGAATTTTGTTTTTTTTAGACAATTTTAAAAGTATTAGGTATTTGTTAAATCGGAAGAAACTGATGCATTACTTCCTGTAAGGGGAAAAATATTATACCAGTTTAAAAGGTAAACGTTTTTTTGATAATTTTTCTTGGCAATTCTAAGATCATAAAATTATCTTTGGCATGCAAAATCTTCTTCTCCATTCAATTCCCCTGACGACTTTATACTAGAGTTGCAGAATTTATCTAATTCATTGCATCCGCCGAATTCAAAGTCGCACGTGATGATGATGTGGTGGAAAACAGTAAAAGAAATCTTCATTAAACATTTTTTATTTTTATATTTAGCTCTGGTTCGTCTTTATATTCGTCCATACATCGTCTTTATTTCTGCTCAATGAAGCTACTGATCTGAAAGTTTTGTTATTTGAAAATACTTTCAATTGAAGGTAAACACTTTCTAAAGGCACCTGTTAGTGAGTTAGATTCTAGAGTCAGTAGAAATCAAAAGGTAAGATGCTGAGATATAATTTCTCTGCCGCATACAGCCTTTTCGATGTGCTTGGTTAAACGACTAAAATTTTATAGAAAAAATTTCTTAAGGGCGATGAATTTTTCTTTCAGGCATTCTAGAAGCTTCAAAGCATCTATTATGTTAATAAAAAAAAGTTTTTTTCAAAAAATATATGCACTTTTTCCTTTTAAACAATACCGCGTAGGATGCACTCTTCTATATATTCACCCAACTGCCGTTGGTTTATCGGTGTCATGTAGCATCTAAAATTGTTCATGAGATGAAACATGACTGAATCGGAAAACTTCTATCTGTCTATTCATCCCACTTCTTTAAGTCGTTAATATTTTAGGTCAAAAAAAGTGACTAGAAAGTTGAATCCTGGCATATATAAAAGAATGACTCGCAGGTATCTGTCGTATTTTGCTATCTGCGCATATATGCCAGGTCAAGGCAAGCAGATAAAAGGAGTCATGTGCGGGGTTTCATTATTTAAAGTTCCTGTAGTGGTGTATAAAAGGACTATTTCTAATACCTTTCACCACTTAGTTGCGAAGTGCAGAGTGAATAAAGTACATTGGACAAAGTGCATTTAAGATCTTGCATTTGATATGGGCTCCAAAAAGGAAGCAACGGATCGGTTGTTTGTGCAAACTCATGTGGCACATTTGGAAGTAAAATTGTAAATGCGTAGACCAGCCAAGAATGGTTTGCAAAATTTCTGTTCCGGAAATTGTCAATCTCAAGAAAGATCGTTGATCTGCGCGATAATTGACATTTTTCGGCCCATGTTGGAGGGCAGCCGACCACTTACCACTTTGCAATTGCAAACAGACGCGGAATTCACTGTTCGACTGCTTTGGAAGACATGAAAGTTTGGACTTCATAATTGTGAAATTTTCTGGACTTTACAACCGCGATCATAAACATAATTTCTTGAAATTTCTTTGCAGAGATTTTAATCTCAAAGAATATAGTCTTGGAATCCACCATTCCACTGTTGAGATGTACATCAAACGTCTTCGCCAAAGCGAAGAGTGGCCCCGATATGAGGAATTAATATGAATTGAGGAATTGATATTGAGAAATTAATATGAAATTCATTGAGGAATTAATTTGAAATGCATTGTACTTATCAAAACAGGGCAGATGTTAGCTTGCAACAAGACTGGTTTGCATTACCATCTAAAGGTAAATCTGCGAATTATTTCAATGATCTTATGAATGGAAAAATTGTGGTAAAAATTTTACAAGGTTTTTTTTTTTAAGAAATTTACTGCAAAGAGCGCGCAATAGACAGAAATAAAAACTTTGCATAGAGTTTCTAACTTATGAGTTCATGGTTCCTTTTTTTGCTTAATTTCTATGATAGGGGTAAAAATGTCCCGATGAATTTAGGTAATGGTAATTTACTAGTAAAATGGTCTATAAGCAGAATATTTGCGGAATGTAAACAGAGAGTCGAGTCAAGAGAGTTGGATTGCAATGTTCGTACGGAGAAGACTAGAATGAGAATTATGGTGTTACAAATATAAAATCTGTTAACAGTTTGTAAATGGATCTCGTAAGAATTGTAAGTGAAACCTACACTTATATCCCCAAAACCATAATTCATCGGTACGAACTTCATCTCACAATGGGTCAAATGAGAACATAACCTCTGATGTTTCCTTCTGGGTGTTGCAAACGTTTTGATACAATGAATATATCCTTTAACCCTTGGTGATGGGTATAAAAATCATGAAAGACGGTTTACAAACAGCTGTATTAGTGATATAATGATATTATTGATCAATATTATAATAATGCTATCGATAAATAGTTTGTTTTATTAATTATTGGATTATTCAGTCCATTAACGTAAATAATAAACAATAGGGAACCTTTTAATCGAACTGTATGTGATGAATAGGACATCTTGTTTTTAGCATAAGAAAAATGAAGATAGATAAAGATGCCATTGCATTTGAGAGAAATATTGAACATTTTCATTAGGCACTCTTCTGATAAACATTCGTTTTGAGGATGCTCTGATGACGTTGTTTAACAAATATCCGCCACACAAACAATCGAAGTGTTTCGTTGCATGTAATGCAAACAAAATTACACGAAGTGAAACAAATCGTTGTATTATATAGGGCGACAACAACGGTACCAAACAATATGTTTAAAATTTTGTTGGTATTGGTTTATTTGCAAATGTACGTTTTAACCAGCGATATGTACCTAAGGCCAATTGTAATAATGTTAAGCTGCTCTTCAACAAAATTGACATTTAAGGGACGATAAAACTTTTAGTCGAAGCGACAAACCGAATCGCTGGCTAAAGGAAAAGCAGATTTTTTTTCTTTTTCAATGAATCGGTATTTGTAATTGTGTATGCGTAAGTTTGTATATAGTTAAGCGGTAGCTATCGATTGGTAAAACCTAAGTAAATATTTGCAAGAGAGCCAACGCACTCATGTACACAAGCACTCTTAAACATATATATATATATATATATATATATATATATATACATATCTATTTATATGCCCAACTAGCATGTAACAGCATTTACTACCACAATAACAGCAAACAATAATAATAATAATAATAATAATAATAAAAACACCGAACACGATCTTCTGCACTTCAGAACACATTTGTACCAACATCAATTGTTCCAGGTATTTATTGCCCAATAGGGAAAAAACGGTTGCGGTTGTTGCTGCTGTTTTGCCGAAATGCCACTTTCAGATGCGGTAAAAATATATAAATTGCCCGCCATAAGTGAATTCTTGTTTCAATTATTTCCATGTTAACATAATAATTTAGTGAAACAGCATCGCTCGGTTACGCACTTTTTGCCGAACACAGCAGAGCATGCAGAGTTAACCAAGTAGCCAACAAACAATCAGCCAACCAACCAAGGTATTCATTTACCTTTAGATTGGGTAGATTTCGATTAGTAAGCCAAAATTTAAGTGAATTTGTATTTGAGAAACATTGCTTAAGCCTTAAATCTTCATTCATTTCCCGCACGCTCGTTGTCATCATCCTGTGATAAGTTGACTACACAGCTGATATAGTTTCTAAAAAAGCGTTCACATGGCTTATGCCTTATGCTTGTACAAACTCATACACTACATAGTTATAAGATTCGATTTAGGTTAGTTCTTGTGAAATTTGATTATTGTTTCAGTTTTATTGTAGTTGTTTTGTGAAGCTACAATAACTTAAGCTCACCAGTCTTTTGTTCCACTAAATATACATTTAGCACCACAAAGGCCGTCTAAACGCAAAAGTTTCAACGGCAACATTTGGCCATATACTATATGTATACGCTTTAATGTGTATGTTCAACATTAAGAAATGCTGCAGCGTTCATCGATATGTTGTAGCAGCACCTGAAATTGTTTGTTTACTTTGTGGTATCAATTCGATCTCATGTTGTCGGCATTTAATCTCATTCTATTGTCCTCCACATCTGGTGGTGGCAACGTCTATGAATGTCTGAATGCATGACTTTGCGCTTTAAACGTATGCATACGGTTCTACGGTACATAGTATAAAACGCTAGTGCGTTGAACAAACCCAAACGATCATCTTGGCTGGTAGATCGATTGCAATACATAACATTCTGCTGATAAAACTTCAAAACACTTAAGGCCGAAATATGCGAAAGAAAAGTTGAAAAGCAAAAAAGAAAAGAAAGAAAATTGTATTCTCAAGATATTTTAAACACATGAGCAAATACAAATTTACATAATCATATACACATACACGCGCACACACACCAACGCATTCTCATTCTACATACGCTAGGCATTTCGAAAAATGTGGAGTCTTATAATGGAGACAGTCTGTATTAATTCTAAAAGTCAGCGTATAAAATGAAAATATAATTGCAATTTTATAAAGCTTAAATATTTTTTTTCAAGTAGACACGATGTCATCGTATTAAATAATTAATCATCAGGCATTTTGCATATTTCAATTTT